TATCATTTAAATATGGCTGTGCGAACTGTATAAATGAGCTTATGTCAACAGCAACTTTTGATGTAATATCTATTTAACTTGAACTCATATCAATTGCTGTTCTAACCATAGATAATGTGATTCTAGCAACCATAACAGTTTTCTCCGTGTAAATATATATTTTAAGTAAAAGTTAATGTAAGATAAAAGAGAACCTTGTTAATTAATTAATTTACAGCAAATCAGTATCATTTGATAACTTGCGATATAAATTTAAAAAGAGCGCGCAGACACAATTTAGACTTTGCATAGGAGCGCCAAACAATCGCCACTAATGGTGGGACCAAATTATGCTTATTATACAATGCTAACAGCAATTATTATTATATTACATTTAACATATATTTTAACAGACTCGATTATGTATTTTGTTAGAGCAAATACGAACGAACAATTACATTTTTCAATTAATTTTTTGTTTTTTTCGCAATATTTCAAAAGTTAATTACATTTTTGTTTTGTTTTGTTTTTTTTTTTTTTTTTTATGTCTGATTGCAGAGTATCGCGAACGTGATGAAAGATGCCTCGTATATTACGCTATGGGGACTCAATGTATTAATCCGCCAAACGGACACTCATCCTCTGGTTCAAATGACTGCTCACGAATTTATGTTTGGTTATCAGTCAACCCTTGTTACCCTCGGCAATCATATAATGCCTTCCTGGATCAAATTCGATAAACTAGGTTTAATTGACAGGGTAAGAGATCTCAAATCGAATTTAATAGATATGTGAGATAAATAAAAACGACACATTTTTAATATAATGTATGTTGAAGTTATAATAGATGTGACGGTTTTAAATTCATATTGATATACACATCACGAGAGTATTGAAAATGTATAATGCACGTTCATTTCCACAGATGTACGATTTTGAAGGGGACTTTGAAACCGTTTTCACGGGAGAAACCGATGTTCGAAAGACGGGCTTAATCGATAAGTACAATGGAGACGTGAATTTACCACAATGGACTGGTAAATGCGCAAACGTGCACGGTGCAAGTGACGCCGTTAAGTTTCCAAGCTACATCCAGCCGAATGATACTCTTCTCTTTTATCGCAAGAGTCTTTGCCGAAGCGAACGAATGGTAATTTTCGATTATTGTAGTTATAATGACCATAGAAAACAATTTTCCGAGTTATGCGTTCTATGCGCAAAACATTTTGTTATTAATTTTTATCGTTACTCAAATAAAATTGATCACTTCTTAAGCTTACAACGTTAAACAAATTCTTCACCATTTAATTTAAATCAATCTTTAAGCGAAATTTTCGCAAAACGGTGCAAATTGGCACGCGCTTCATCTTAAAAATTATTTACATTTTTTTAATTTTAATGAGTACAAAAAATTGAAATACCAAACCAAGCTCATTATATACATATAGAATATTTATAATTCTTCCAAAAGTTTTGTATCCTGCGTGTACACGAAATATTGTTAATAATATAATAAATGATTATTTAAAGAAATAATTTTTATAATTTTTACTTTGAAGAGTTTAGAAGTGCAAAAATTCTCTAGCGCATTATTTTTACTAATAAATATCTCTTTTTAAAGAAACGAGTCGGAGAGAAAACTATAAAGGGTATTTATGCGTACGAGTACACGTTTTTGGATAATGAGTTGGATAACGGAGCAGTAAATCCAGAAAATAAATGTTTTTGTCGTAAAGGATTCTGTTTGAAGCCTGGCTTGATCGACGTGACTGATTGTTACTACGGTAAGACAGATGAAAATAGTCTTATTGAAACATTAAGATATTGAAACATTAAGATATTACACAAAAATTAAAATTTAAAAGCAAGACTTATTAGCGATTAAACTAGTACATTTATGAAAAACAACTGATAAGTATCCAAAACGACCCACAGATAGCGATGATACAGTATCACGTTGCTGTTTGTCATTGACAAGTTTAATCCTTTAAAAAGACAAATGCTGACTCATTATTGCATGTGTGACAGTTAGCCAAAATATAATCATTTATGGTATCGATGATTTCATTGTCGCTCAAAAATTTATTTCCATCAAACTTTTGACATTTGTTTTTCTGAAAAATAAAGTCTTGTCAATAACAATGCGATGCTACTGTCGCGTCGTTTCGAATATACTTATCATTTTCTTCATGTAACTATATACTGACACTTTCATATATACAATTTTCTTTCTAGATCAAATTATTAATATTACTCTCGCGCGCGCGATATATATACTTACATAACTTACAAAGTTTATAGTCACTTTGTTTTATCCATATCGACGACACGTATATCAACACTTGTAGAAAAAAAACTTATCTTTCGATCTGCATCACAAAGTCGACTATTTTATATGTTATACACTCGTTGCGATCAATTTAATATTTTTATATCTATAAAGTTGCAAGATATCGACTGCTTCATTCATATTGCAAGAAAAATCATTAGTTTCGATTCAAGATGTGTAAGAACCGAGAAAAAATTGCATTTGTGTGCCAAAATGTTAACAAAAAAAAAAGCAAATTAATTAACAAATGATTTATCTAGTTGGCGTAATTTTCTGCGTTTAGAGTTATTTGCTCTCACAAAGTGAATCTGGAATGTTTGACTTGTGGCGTTGTTGAGATTAATGCAATACGGCACAAATGACGATGATTTTCCATTTTATTACGTTGATTAAACACCTGCGTTAATAAACTTGCGACGAATAGCAACGTACAAGTATAATGTTGACGATAATGTTACATTTATGTCATATGTACCGATATTACATCACATTTACATCATAACAACCAAGAAGCAATTATTTTTTGCTGAATAATGAGCAACACGAGTTGCAGTTTCGCAAGAATCGTAATGTTGTCAATGTCTTATATATCACAGCGCAATCTAACAACTTTACTGTCGTGAATTTTTTCTCCGTGTTGTTGGTATCAAGTTCATCGTCGATTGACTAGAAACAAAAAATTCATAAAAAATTAAAATTTTTATTGAATCTATTTTAAAATGTGTTGTATATTTATTGATATAAAATAACAATTAAGTATTTTGTGACATTTGTTAAAACCTTTTCAATTTTAAAGTCTCACAAGTGAATAAATTTTCTCTGATTTTTTCGTAGGATTTCCAATTGCTCTGTCGTATCCTCACTTCTATCAAACCGATCCGTCGATATTGGAAGCTGTCGAAGGACTTAATCCTAAAAAGGAATTACATGAATCTTATTTCTTCATTAATCCAAAATCTGGACTGCCTGTGGATCTAGCATTCCGCTTTCAGATCAACATGGCTCTACAAAATATCGGTCATGTGACTAGAGTGGAGAAGTTCGCAGATTTCACGCTCCCATTGCTGTGGTTCGAAATCGTAAGTATTGAAGTACTAAAAGAAATAGTAATGTACTTTCATCTACCTAAATAGTGTTTGAAAACAAAAGAACAACACAGTCAAGTATTAAGTTTTTAAGATGTTTCTATTATTTTGTTCGGATTTGTTGATCACCGGATGAACTGAAGATGCAGTTTGCTCTTGTTTAAACGCGAATAATTAATCAACACTATAATAATCAAACACCATCTTTCTCTTTAGGGAATGTACGAACTACCGGCCTCAATGAATCTCCGTTTCTGGTTTTACTTGAATTTCTTGCCGATCGCAGAGGAAGTGTCGACGTACCTGTTGTTCCTGTCTGGCGTGATATTGCTCGTATGGAGTGTCGTGAAATTACTATCCTCTCATGTTAAGGGATCGCAGATGGAATGGAAAGAAACAGAAATGAAAAGGAAACAACAACGAGCGCAGCAGGACAAATCAGCCGACAGAAAAGCAAAAGAAGCGGATGCGTACAGTTCGCTTCTGGTTTTCGGCAATGTGTCGTCAAGAACGATGTAAATAAAAATCATCGTTCGAGGTTTAAGCTTTAAAAAATACATATTAAAACATTGCTTCTTTCTTCATTGGTCTTTTATATTTCTGTGTAATCTGCTAAAGCACGAACGCTGAAGATTGTCCAAGTGCTAAGTAATTTCTTGTGATCAAGGACCGATTGTTCCATCTTCAGATAAAGTATCGGGGTAATCTATCCAATGGTTAAAACTCTGATTTGCGTTGTTCCACGTGTAAAATTTATATATCTGGTAAATGACCAAAAATCAAAAGATAAATTACACGGCATTCTCGGTACCGTGTAAATCGTATCTAACAGATACGATTTAGATAAATTGTAAAAATAAAAAACAGTGAAAAAAATGCGCTAGTTAGGTTTCTATAGATAATAACCTATCAAATAAGCTGAGATTTAATTCAGGAAAGTAGAACAACCGGCTCTAAGACACGTAAAATAAAATCATATTATCTCTTTTCTTTGAAAAGAACAGTAGATTTTGTATTAAAGACAGCGAAATGAAATATATGAGATTCTAAGAACACAATGTTGCTCTATAAGAAACTACATCTATTTTTCCGAAACTTTTTCTTATTTTCAACTATAATTTATTATTTTGCATTTCATTAGTAGTAACAAGTTGTACAGCACAAATATGAAGAGAAAATGTGTGATGTGTGTGTGTGTGTGTGTGTGTATTACTACATGTATTGCTATATTTAATGAAGCATATATTTACTGCTAGATGTGCTGCAACAGATAGAAGTATTCAAATACGTAATCACACACAAATATCAGGGTACTGAAAGTTTAAGAAACTGACTAATCTTGATTAAATTAATGCCTTTTTTTTATTTTTATAAAGTTTTTGTATATATGTATATTTCACACATTTTGTGAATAATTATTAAACAGTATATCAGCAAAAATGATTTTATTAATGAATTTTATTAATTTTATTAATAAATTAAATAAATTTAATTATCTCGGCTATTTTCTAACACTCATAGACGTTAGTAAATTATAAATATAGTAACTGTATTCTCTCTTTTTTTTAGAAGTTTTCATTTAAAACTTATTAATATAAATATATAGTTATAAGTTTATGAAAACAAGTTTTTCTTATCTGTCTTATAATAAAATTCTAGCAACATGTTTGTGTATGTGTGTGTGCGTGTTTATAGTAACATTGCCTGCGCATTTCATTTTAGTAAATGCTATCTTCTTGCTATTTTCTTCCTACTGACATTTGCTCATTGTAATGAGATATCTCGTACGCTACATATTTTATGTAAATATATAAATAATGTTTTTTAGATATTGTAGTTAAAATAATAATACATAATGTGAGTGATAAACAATTTATCAAAAATAAATTGTATAGAATTATGCACACAAATAAGGATATTTATCGTTCATCAAAAGGGATTTCAGATTCTTTTATATCATGTCATAATTTTTCCATGACTCAAAATAACTTCACGTATTATTTTAGAATAAAAAGTGAAAAATTAAAAATTTTTAAGTAGGCCATACACACATATGTATAAAAAACTAAAAATATAAATTATATCTACGGCAAATATATCAAAATTTGTGATAAAAATTATTGATAATAAACTACTTATTTTTATGATAGTTATTTCGTTACTTATAAACTTATCTCTCTAGACAAATTGTAATATGTGAGAAATGTGTTTTTCACTAGAATATCTTGCCTTTTATTTATACAAATATTTAAAATACAAATGTGTAATATTGGTTGTGATTAATAACATATATTCACAGTTATAACATATAATTAATGTTTACAACATATTACTTAGAAATAACAGTAGCTTTTTCCGGTGAAAAACAATTTACGATATGGAAAAAATAAATATTCACATCTTTGTAAGAAATACTGCAGTTGTCTACAAATGTTTGAATGTTGTAAATAGTAATAAATTTATAAATTATATTTACAGCTTATTGCAATTTTATGTAACTTCGTATTCAAAAAACATAATAAGTTGGATTTTTACACAAAAGTTGTGTTCGAATGTTGTAGGTAGATAACGTAAATACTCGTATATAAAAAACTACAACTATCTGAACTTTTTTAGTCTACACGCGTAAAAAGTTGTATTTTTACGTAAAAGTTATTGTAAATGAATAAAAGTAAAACAATAAACTACAAAATTTTACTACTTACTTTTACTTTTGTTTATTACACTAAACAAAACTTAAATACATAGGAATATGAATGTGTCGAATATTATTCAATAAACTATAATGAAATAAAAATATGATATTTTTCTTTGAAACTAAAAAATATGTATTAAATTATATAAATTCACATCTCTCTTTCTCTCTCTTTCTTTCCCTCGAAATGCATGTTTATCATGCCCGGTAAATATTGTTTAATAGAAAAGAACTTAAAATAAAAAATAAGCATATAAGCAGTACGTCAAAACACATTAAGTCAAATTATATTTTTAATAAAAAAAGTTATTAACAAGTTATTTTATAAAAAACAGTTTTTAATAAATAAATTTTTCAAAAAAAAAAAATATTAATAAAAAACATATTTGATTGTTCCTGTAAATATACAAATAGAATCAACTCTAATTTGATCAAATTTATCTCGATTTACTGCTTATATTGTAGAAACTTAATATGCCGTTTGAGGATTGTCTGTATTCTTTTCTGTATTTAATTATAGAAAAAAATCATTTTTCAACATAGTGTTACGTAAATGTACGTATTCTTTTGTATAATCCGTAATATACAACTTTTTATATTGTTATAGGAAAATACGATCTTATATATTGTTATATAATACGATCTTTTTATATTGTTATAGGAAAATATGTTTTAAATTAAAACCAAAATCTGTAGAAAGATGTTAAATAGTTGCAGAAAACGCATAGATTGCTAAGTGATATTTATACTTTTCTAATAGTTGTAGGTATATTTTTATCAGAGTTTGCAACACACATGAATTTTTCAAAGAACGGTCTTTTTATATTTGTAAAATAACCTACTATTTTATATATATACAGGGTGTCCGACAACTAGTGTAAAATCTCTCGTAGGTGGGTAGATGGAGTAAATCTGAGTCGAAAAGTCCTGAACCATTTTTTTCTATTACATATAATAAAGGAGTAATTATTGAATAAATCAAGCCAATCAGCGCCGACCTATAGCCGAACGCACGTCAGTGAACCACGCGCCTGATATATGTGAGCGTTCCGCGCGACTCACTAACGTTCGCCCGGCTAAAGGTCGGCGCTGATTGGCTTGATTTATTCAATAATTACTTCTTTATTATATACATATATATACTAGAAAAAAATGGTTCAGGATTTTCCGATTCAGTTTTACTTCTGTTACCTGCCTACGAAAGATTTTACACTAATTGTCAGACACCCTATTTATATATATACACCAGTCGTTTGAATGCGATAAAAATCAAAATAATAAAACTAGTTTGTAATTCATTGAAATTGTTGTAACAAAATTTTCATACTTTCTCACCTTCTTTTCCATTTCTCTTCAATACTATATCTTTTATTTAACTAAATTTAAAAAATAAGCATGAAATTCTATAAGTATTTTAACAAATAAAGCTTATTGAAGCTCGATAAGTTACTAAACTAAGAAATATAATTACGGTCATCCGAGCCAATCGCAGGATGTTGTGCGGAAAACTACGTGTATATATATATATGCATACATATATTTGTTCGAGTGTAAATTTTTACACGCTTCTATAAGTATATATTACAAAACTACACATATATATATATATATATATATATATATTTAATAATTTATAGAACTTTAGATACCTTACAAGTTTATTTATACAATTACATATTCAATAATTATAAACTCGATTTTCTGCTGTCGCGCACTCAATAAAACCACAAAAAAGTATGTTGAACATAAAAAAAAACAAACTTCTTCAAGATTGATTCATATATTTTACAACAAAATCATATATTTGTTCTTTATCTGTAAAATAAAAAAATTTTCTTTATATATACTTAATTAAAATATCTGAAACACAAAAAGAGAGGAATACTGTGTTTTAAGAATATTAAAGTTGTAAATTTTTAAGATATTTGTCTTACCAAATATTTTTTTTCTTAGCATAATGTAGTGCATTTCTCTGCAAGTTTTTGAGAATGTCGCCTTGTCCGGAAGACGTTCTGACGGATAATATTTCATTAAGTATGATTTCAAAATTTCAGCTGTTTTAAACTGTGTAGCTTTATCCGCAGGTACTCGTAATTTGTTACTTTTATTTTTCTCCTGATGATTCGAGTGAGATAAATGATGAGCATTTCTTATTTCTTTTTTTGATTCTACTGAAGTTTTTATTGCATGATGCTTCCTTAGTTCGTTCTGTTTTGTTATTAATGAATGTTTATTTATATCATTTATATCATTACTATTAGTAATTTCGATTACGTTATTCCCGCTAATGCTGATGTCGCTCTTCTTATTTCTGTCGATACTTGTATCGGAAATATAATGTTCAGTTTTATTGTGCTCGCTATATATCGTTCTTTTTTTCTCAAACTGTTTTATGTCGCCTTTATCAAATTCAATAGATTCCCGATCTCTCTTATTTCTACTTTTTCTCTCGGTTTTCTTGACATCTTTAATAGAATCAAGAATGTTATTACTAGCTTTTGAATCTGTTCCTATTGAAATGTAATTGTTTTTACATTCTACAAATGTTCCAGACTTAGTTGTACTTTCGTCTTTTATTTCATCTTTATGTTTAACAAGATCAATAACATTTTCAAATTTCGAGTCTGTTTTTCGAATATATTCGAGAGACATATCTGATGTTTTATTTGTGCTTTGTTTCATCCGCGCTGATGCTATAATTTGTTCATAAACTGACTTATTTGCTTTCTTTACGCTTTTATCCGTCTTGATTCTGCGATCTTTTGACTTGGAGCTAGATTTGGATGACTGTGAACTATTTTCATGAAGTTTTTGCGCACAAACAAAGCCACTTGACACTTCTGATTGTGTTGTATCTACATTACTTTTATATATAGTTTGTTTCGTATTATTAGAATCATCAATAACAGATGTTTCATTTTGTGTTCGATCTAGTTTGCCATTTTTAATAGATACTTTGTTAAACTCAACTTTTTTATTTTTATCAGATGTAGATGTATGTACTTGTAATCTTTCTTCATTTTTAATATCTAAAGCAGATTTGAAAATGGAAGGAAAATTCATTTTATTACAATTGTTTGATTCGTTTCCGCTAAATCCTGCTGTAGCTGTATCCAGTTCTTGTTCACAATTAGATGTATCAATGGTGAAATCGTTAAGTTTTGTATTATAAGTTTCATTATAATCATGTATTGCTTCGTATATAGTAGCATTATCAGTACATTTTCGTATTGACGATATCTGTATAAGTAAAATAAATAAAACTAAAAATACTATATCTTATATTTTTCAAATAACGTGTATTTATAAATTATAAACATATTAATTTTCTAGCAGTTCTGTATATTAACAAGTTTTTCTAAAATATGTATTCACAGTCATTAAAGTTAGGTAAACTTTTTTCAGAATTATGTATAAGAATTGTATGTAAGAGAAATAATTCTATTTTCTAGTCATGTTTATAAAAATATATATGTTACTTGCCAATTTTGACATATCAAATTTGTACTTATTTGGCACTTTAGTACTGCAGAATATTTTGTATTCTAAATTATTGGCTATGTCGCACATATCCTTTTCCTGGAGCTTGTTAACTTCCGAAGATAAATATCGGAAATTTTCAGTTAACACCGTTTTTAATTCATTGTAAAAATGTTCCCGCACCTTTAAATGTTAAATAATCTTGTAATACCGAAAATATCTTGTCAGTTACACGCGTAAGAATAAATTGACTCACTTGAACAGTTAAACCTTTTATTTTCTTATCTGTGCTACTGGCTGCACGGACGTGCGCTACTTTCGCAAACTTGATATTTTGTCGCCTTATCTACAAAGAACAAATACAATGAGTAGAATTAATATTAAATGTAAACCGAAAATAAAATGAATATAGTCCGGAAATCTTTACTCGCAGCGCTTACTTACTTCATCTTCTTTAGATCCACCACGGCGAAGTGCAAATTGTTCCATAATAAGTTCTTTTCTTTCTCGTTTTTCAGCCGCAATAATTTTTTCTCTCGAATCGTCAGATCCATCATACGATTCATCATATCCATCACTGTACAGTCATAAATGAGTACCATTTATACACATATAATAGAAATATATTGATTATATATCTATATAGTAACTTATGCTATAGATAAATTAAGTACTTCTTTGAGTAAATTTCGTCAGCGTCATCGTCACAGTTTGTTCGCATCACAGTGCCCAAGTTACGTCGGGGTTTTTGAGATTTCGTCTGACATAATTCAAACTGAGTTATTCTTGACTGTACTTCTTCTTTATTTTTACAAACATCGCATTTATCTTTGCATAATGGAGGAGAATCGCCAAAGTATTTAGAAAAAACTGCGTGCCGACATCTAAGAATACACAAACCTACTATTATTGTGTACAATATATATTAAAGACATTTAATCATAACTGTTTCTCATTTATTAATTATACTTTAATGAGCGTGTATGTATAAATAAAAACGTTTACTTTGCTTCCAAACAATAGGCGACACTTTTTTCAAAATTCTGCCATTTAATTTTCACTAGCTCTGAACTCTTTTGCGTAATTTCTTCCTTGATAAGAAATGAAATTGGTCTATATTCTTCGTTGCTGAAATATACTCTACAAAATGCTGGATTGCCGTCTCTACCAGCTCTTCCTGATTCTTGATAATATGCTGCGATATTCTGAGGTACTGTCCAATGAACTACAAATCTGTACAATGTTCATACAGTAAATACAATATTGTTTTTGACTATTGCAAAGATATGTATGAGACTCTACCTGACAGATCCCTTATCAACACCCATTCCAAAACTACATGTTGCTGCAATGACAGGTACTTGACCTACTGTCCACTTATTTTGTACTTCATTGCGTTCCTGAGTCTTCAAACCTATTCGTGTGTAAAAACAATTTAACATTAAAGTTTGTCACACATTTTTATTATTATGTTATTAAAATTACACATACTTCCATGATACGCAAGTGTGGTAATACCAGCAAGAGTCAATTCATGCGCAACAATTTCAGTTGCTTCTTTTTTTCTACAATAAATGATACCACAATTTCTTTTGTGCTAAAAAATATTATTCATAAAGAAAAATATTACTCACAATGAAATATATATATATAACACATTCGTATATAAATAACATTTATATTGAAAATGTAAAATTTTAATTCACCTCTGGAATAGAATTATCCACGGGACCAAGTACATTCAAAATAAAATTTTTTAGATGTATATATGGTTTATCTAATGTTTCTAAGAACCACACGTCGTAATATAAATTGGGACGAAATACTGGTTGAGAAAATATTAAAGGATCTTTCATATGCAAATTCTGAAGAATATCATCTTTAACCTGTGATAATATAATTGTGTCAATATTATTACAAGTGTCTCTCTCAAACTGTTTGCAACATTTTTGTAACTACCTGTTTTGGAGCAGTGGCTGTTAATGCAATCACAGGTATTTTAGGGCACAATTTTTTGAATATTCCTAATTTTCTATAAGTTGGCCTAAAATCGTGACCCCATTCACTTAAACAATGAGCTTCGTCAATAACAAAGTAAGAGAGTGTCTTTTTTTTCTGCATTTGATTTATTGTGTCCTATAGATTAAAAAGTATATATTGCAATTTAAATTAATTATAATTTAAAGATGTTAAAGAAGTTTTAACATAATTTTTAAAAATATTTACTGATATGACTTAATATCTATTCTTATATAATATTCATAGGCGTCCGCAGAATTTTTTTCAGGAAGGGCAATTTTTCCATCCCATAAATTATGAATTTTACAGAAAGGTTTTACTGTACAGAGAATTTTTACAAATAGATGTACGATTTAATTTGTTAACCAGGGATTTCAAACTTGTTTCAAGATAAAAAACACAATTTGTGAAAAAACTTGCCTCTCCAGAGAGAGGAAGGCAAATGCCAAGTTTGCTCCTCCCTGTGGACGCTCATGATAGTATTCTATCTACACAATACAGTATTCTAGTACAGACTATAAGTTATATTTTTCTCAATATAAGATGAATAAAAAAGCAAAGTAGTCTATACAAATCATATACAAGCTTTACGATAAAATACCTGAAAATGCTGTTGCGCTCCCATTTCAGGAGTGACATATAACAATCTGAGTTTAGGTGAATCTGACATAAGATCTGTCATGATTACATTCCTCTCTTTGCTTGATGTAGTAGAATTCAAGGAACAAGCATTTATCTTTTTGCTGACTAAAAAATCTATCTGATTCTAAAAAGACCAAACAAAAAATAAAATTAATATACTGTGTTTTTTAGTCTTCTACTTGTGTATATGTATATATAATATTTATAATATACATAACACAACATATATATATAATATATATAACAAAAAAGATTACAATTATATGTTCAGTACTTGTTGTATGTTTAAATAAAAAGATAGAAAAAAAGATTACCTTCATTAGAGCTAAAAGCGGTGAGAAGACAATTGTAACTTTTTGCTCTTTCATTATTGCTGGTAATTGAAAACAGAGAGACTTTCCAGAACCAGTTGGCATGCACACAAACACATCTTGTTTTCCTAAAAATCACCCAAAATATTTTAAAAAATTTGATTTTTATTAAACTTTAATATTGACACACGTGTTTAACTACAGCTACATATACGTATGCTCTGAAAATATACGATGCAGATACACGTACACAAAAGAATTAACTAACACACGTAATTTGAAAGATTATGTTTTGCAAAAAAAACCTTTATAAATAGCTGTTGTGGCTTCCCTCTGAATGTTATTTTTAAAGTCGTCATAGCCGAACTTTGACTTCAGAACGCTTTGTAACATTTTTATTTATCGTTGTGACAATTGATAACGTGTTCTTTAAAACAAAAAGTAACAAAAGAAAGTAACAATATATATCATAAACTTGCAATTTATCACTAGTTTACTATTTGTTCTGTTTTTGATCTGTTAGGGATCTTTGGTCTAACAGATAACCGTAAGTATTGTTCTCCGAAAACACGCGCCGCATTTACGCTACTCGGACTACTCGAAGTCAGATAAGGTTAGGATTAAATCAACTGCCAGTGCTGCCGTGATCGGCTACCTGCAGCAGTCATGATGGACGAAGAAAACGATGAAGATAACAGAGAATTTCCGGAAAAAATGGCGGCGTTCACGAAAGTCGTGCAGATTTCACGAAATGTGAACAGTATAACGAAGCTGTTCACAAATTTGTCATTAACCTCGAATGTCATCACTTCTCCAAAATGTTTATTTTTTCGCAGGTATACACGTAATTTCGCGTTATATCACTGTATTTTGTTATTTTCTTTAAACTAATAATACTGTTTGTGTGTTCTACAATGTAAAATTGTTTATTCCTTTACCTAAACAAAGATGCACAAATATTTACCATGTATAATATAAAGTGTTTAATTTATTATCTTGGCCTATGGGCAAATTTTTGAAGCCTTTGAGCCATCAAGGAGTCAAGTCATATTTTATCTTGTCTGCTGTCAATTAATAGAATTTTAATGTGCAATTGTAATTAATGTAACTTTTTTGTAAATATAGCATACCAGCTTTGCACTCTGCATTTATACACATCACATCAGAACGTCGTGACTTAATGGAATTCTTTGACGATCCAAAAAATTGGGGACAGAATGAAGTAAAAGTTGGCCGGTCTTGGAGAAAAGATGAATTAAGACTCAAAAGTAATTCTGATCTTCACAAGTTGTGGTAAGATTTATCTTTTTAACTTTTTATATGTTATACATTTTGTTTTATATTCTATCACATGCGCACACACCAGATTAATAAATTTAAACAACTGTAGGTTTGTTCTATTGAAAGAACGTAACATGCTTTTGACTATGGAGGAGGCATGTAGTAAAGCTATTGAAATTTTTCCAAGTCCAGAACGTTTAGACAAAGTTCAAGACAGCATGGATAACTTAGAAGCAGTCGTTCGTGAGAGAAACAGAGCATACCATTTGCTTGAAACAGGTGAAACAGGAGAGCGTCCTGGAAAAATGGTTGCTAATATCCTAGGTAAGATCTTTCAAATTTATATAAATACTAAATATTTTAACATTTCATATTTTATATTTCTAAAAATAAAAAAATGTATAAATAAAAATAGGTATGAATATATCAATTAATTTTTAATATTTCTAGGTCTAAGATTTTTTTATCGAATGCGTCAGTATACTGTTCCAAAATTTATGAATCGTTTGTGGCATAAAAAGCATTTATTTGGTTATGGTGGATATGCAACTCAAAAATTCTTACGTCTATATAGAGAAAAGCTTTGGAATGAAAAACGCAAAGCAAGAAAGTTAGTTATTTTACTTATTTTATCACTTATGTTAGTTTTTATTTAGTTTTTATATAGTTATTTATTATAGATAACAATGAACTTTTTTTGGCTTGTTATTAAAAAATTGAAATTATTTTTGTTTGTTCTAGTCGTGACAGAAATCGTGTTGCTGTATTACTAAGAAAATTTCCGAATCTCGATATTGAAGCTTTGAAAGACAAATATCCAGATGTGGACATAGAGAAAATAAAACACTTAAAAACAGCAAGAGGTCACTGCGCACCTAAGTAGATTTGATGTTGATAGAATAGTAAAGTATCTAATTTTTCAATAATACAGATTATTAGATGATTTTATCTATTTACTGTTTTTAAAATTTATATTTACAAAATTACAAGTTCTGTAATTTTCGAAATGGACATATATTGCTTAATTAATAGTGCTTCATGACGTATATGCTAAATATACTACAATTGTATAGATAATCTGTTACAATATATATTTCTTCTTTTATTTGATCATTAATTATTTGATGTAACTAATAAAAAATAATATGAAATATTCCAGGAAACATTTATTGATAAGATACACAATTTAAACTTGTGCATACAAATATATAGAATTGTATATATATAGAAGTACAATAAAACTAAAAAAATTTAATGTTATTTCTATTTTTTTCTTTATTGAAAACTACAGTACCCAAAGTAAATGCGCGAAAAAGCGAGAACTAAAGATACATATTTCACTATATTCTTTTTGTATGTTTTACTTACTATTTTATTTATTATACTTTGCGGATTGTGTTGTTTGGTGATACAGAATATTTTTGTGTGAAAAGTACACAGATAAAACATTTTAGAACATGCTGACTGCAACTTGTAGAAAATTTAATTCGCGTACTTCTCACACAATAAGAATTAACATACAAAATTTATTTTATTCCTGCGCACGATATTTGTTCATTTAATTTACATAAATTTTGCATACATAAGAATCCTACGGAACATAACACAGCAACTGACGTTTATTTTACTTAACAGCTTATCACAATCACTTGTAGCTACATGAAATAATGCACATATTAAATATTTTACAAGAATATATGCGACAATTGCATCTGTCATGTAGCTTTGGTAACAAAAAAGATTATAACTTAAACAAATATTTTATTCAAAAATATATAATTGATATTTTATCACAAATAAAACTATACGTATAGTAACTAAAACTATACATATTTCCTTTTTCGTATTACATGTTTATATATGTATAATAAGTATTTAAAACTTAATTATTGATTATGTTACAAAAAAATAAATTATTGCAATTAAGTGGAAGTGTGTGTAATATCTTTGATTCAAATTCGATATTACATCAAAAATCGAGAGAAAACTATTTTACAGAATTGAATATAGTATGTACAACAATTAAAATGTATTATATATCTAAATATGTGAATAAAAAATATATAAAATTAAATGAAATTTTATAGACAAAATTACTACACAAAATTAATATAAAACTATAAATTAATTAGACTGCCACAAAATACATAATGTATATAAAGCAATTGTAGGGTATTATGCCTATGCTTCATTTTTTTTCACAATTGTACATTAAAAAATCAAGAGATGATACGTATAATATAAGATTAAAAATGTTAACATCTTATGAGAGAGATAAAGTGATTTGTAGAAAGTCATACCAAAGGTAAACTCTATAATTGCATATCGAATTTTCAATTTGTTAATAGACTGATAAATCATATACTAATTTCATTAAAAAAAAAAACGATTTATGTAAAGTGTTATTATTCTTTGTTAAAGTTACTTTAAATGTGTTTTTAAATTTTATATCATTTTCGACGATAATAAATAACTACTTTAATATCAATAGTGCGTATTCAAATGCTTACTGACTCATCTTTTCAATACATGTGAATATATAGACATTCATATAGTAATCGATAGTGTTGTTTCACGATTATTGTTATGTTACACTTTTTGACTTATAAATTAGTAGTAACTTATGATGAGACTTATGCTACGAGAAAGATAATGCACCATTTTGCAATTTCTCTAAATAGTTATCCTTGAGGCAACTTATATCTTATGCAAGATATTTCTAATAATCGATCTCTTATTAACACCGCAATATAGCGAGAATGTTATGCATATGTTTTTGTACATATCTTGAAGTAAAAAAAAATTGCCATATTATGCCGTTAATCAAGTGTCATGTGTCTGAATAAGAATTGTTCATCTCTGTCTATCTAAATTACAAAATAACATCGATTGTTCTAACTTTAACAGATATATTGAATTTGATATTTAAACAGAAGCAAAAGAATTTGGATTATACTGCGTAAAGCGATACATATTTAAATACGATTGTGTATATTAGTGTTCCAATGTTCCAGCATGGTACCTGAATATTCACGTGCATTATCACGTAAGTTCTATACTACTTATATATGGCAATATATATGTATATAATATGTGTATATATATACATATATATGTATATATGATAAAATAATATTTTTAAGTGACGTGTATATTGTCTACTGGTACAATTTTGGTTTATTCTAAAGCCGGTGGTAACAAGTACCGCCAAGCAAGTTCCAAATCCCTACTGGCGTCTGAACAACGTCGTTGTAATTTATCTTCTGGTGGAAGCGTTGCTATTGGAAATTCACCCTATAAAAAGTAAAACACTTTACGTTAGTATTTACAGTATATAATATTACAGTATAGTCCTCTCTTCGTTTGTACATGCAAAATATGGTGGCATATACCAAATTAGCATCAGCCCACAATGTTTCCAGAATATCTTTAAAAGCACACAGCTCGGTATAATTCGTAAAATATATGACCCAATCGCCGCTGTTTTCGTGCACTTCCCGACACGCAAATTCCTGCAAGTATAACAATATTGCAAACTTTATTTTGTTGTACTATTCATTTATTAGCGATAAAATATTTAGATACTTTATCTAGCAGTTTATACATTGTATTTAGTGATTTATATAATATTTACCAGTATGCACCATGTTTGCTGCACTAATGGCACCCTGAACGCTGCTAAATCTTTAATAGAGGCACAAGAAAGCGTCTGTCCTCTTTGCATGCCGGGATGTACTTCCTTCATCGCTACTAAATGTTTCGTAGTCGTGATGAGGCTGCACGGTAGCGGTTCTTTCTTCTCCATACAGTCAAACAGGCCCGACGCACTTTGAACAAAACTTTGCAACCATTCGGAAGCTACGTACTCGTCTGGAGCAGCGAACTGATACGACTTGTTGGGCTTCAACAATATCTCAAACGTGTGCGGCCGATGGGAATTAGGGATCCTTCTGCAACCTTGACACAAACCGCCTTTTAAAGGTATAGCACGCTTAGGAAGTCGCTGATTCGAATCCGTGAACATGTAAACAACACCGCCTTTCAGAACAAAATAACCGGCTTCCCAGGGACTTGTCGGTGCATTCGGATACAACTGCTGATAGATATGCGGCCGAAACATCAAGTCGCCTTCTTTCATTGGCCCACACGGTGTACTAGGCGGCGAAATGTGTTCATCCTCCATATAAATGAGACTGTAGTGTTCGATTTTTTCATCCTAGATACAAGTGCGATAAATAAAATTATAAATAAATTGTGTCAAAAGTTGCACTTTATGCAATATAATTACAAAAAAAAAAAGATTTACATACGGGATGTACAGTTGTGTCAGTGAGAATCGAGTTTCTCAAAATACGCATATCCTCGTAATTCAATTCTTTAACAGCAGGAAGTTTCGGTTTCGACGGTGATCGTCTCATAGCTATTTCTAAATGACCGATTAATTCTGAGGTAGTTTGCGAGCTGCCCGTAGAGAATAGATATTGCATTTCGCAATCGGCGTTGGAAATTAAAATAGTTTGTGCATTCGGTCCAATCTAAAACAGAAAAATAAATAAATAGATAAAAAAAACAACAATTTTCGGTCAGCAAATTGCGAAAAAATATGAATGACATTATTTAAAAGTTTCTTACCATAATAACATCAAGTTCATTGTAAGGAATAACAAACTGGTTACTATAAGAATGATCTAATTTTGAACCGGTTAAGTATAGTGTCTTGTCCGTCAGTAACGCGATCATCGGTTTGCTCTCGCCGTTGGTCATATACGAACTTCGCACTTTGTATACTTTATATAGTTCTTCCGTTTTATCGCGATAAATATGTCGTTTGAAAAGTTCTCGCAATTTTAAGCTTACTTTTTCGCCACTGAATGCTTGTTTCTCGGCAGCTACGTTCTCTTGAATCTCTTTGTCAAGATTGTCGTTAAAATCTTTGAAAGAATCATAGCTTGTTTTGATCCCTTTGATATATAACGTATTTGACTTCGGCGGTTTTTTGTTTTTCTTAATTTCAAACTTTCTTTCGGTGATCGATTTTAGAAATCTGCTCAGCAGAGATGTTTTTGACGGAGCCTGTCGCAACGACGGCGCCAAGAGCTTGTTGCTGCTTTCACCTGTCAATATCGCCGTCATATTACGCTTTTTTAAAGGCGAAGCCAAGTGTCGATTATTATTCTTACGTTCTTCTGTCTCAGATGTTGTTACACTATCCACATCCGACCAATCGGTTGAATTAGCACATTTTTTGGAATTCATTGTTTGAGGCATTTCTACTTTAGCTGGTGGATCTTCGATGATATTGCCACACGCCTTTTCGACGATATAAGCCTCCTGAGCCTCGTTCTCTTCCAATTCGATTTCCATCTTAGGTCTCAGACTTTTCCCCGGATCTTCCTGACCCTCTGGCGCCCCGCGCTCCAACAACGACAAACCGCAGCTGCATCTGCAGTTGCTTTGACAGGGCACGTTGATGCACAGCTTCGAAGACTGTTTTTCGGCTTCGTCGCTTTGATCGAACGCGTTTGACGATGACGAAAACAAGTAACAGTCCGAGTGTACATTCCTGCCAGCGTTCGTGTTCTTCTGCGCATAAGGCGAATCACCATGCGCACACCAACTATATCTGCCTTTTTGAGCGTCCCTCTTTAGAACAGAACTGGGCAACAAAAAACTCATAGAGAAATCGGCGTAAATCTCATCATCTTCTAGCTTCATTGTTTTTAATATGTCTTCATGAAAGCTGACCCTTTTCTTACTTTCACCCCGTTTCTTCTTACGCTGTCTACGTTGTACTATAGCCTCCGAGCTCGATGAAGATAGAATGCTGGTGTCTGTCATATTGATTGTGTTCAAAATACCGTAAGGTGCATCCATATTGTCACAATCAGAGATGGTCATACTCAGTTCCAGTAGATTTGTATCGTTATTGATTAGATAAGAATTACGAGAATCTATATTCTTCTTAAAGCTATAAGCAGGACTGTCGCCATAGTACGTGCTTCGCTTACTGAAATCCTTTACGCCGTTATCGACTTGGTTCGTCTTATCCAATTTGTTCTCATCTAGACTTTTACTATAAAAATCGTAGTCTTTAAGAGTTTCCAAACTGGAGCAATTCATTTCATTATCATCCAATTTTTGCGTTACGTTCTGATTAACTATATCGTTTTTCGTCATCATGACGTTTTGAAATTTGGTGATTGCTGGCGACTGCGTTGGTGTCTTGCCATCTTCGCTAGAATCGCTAGAACCAAAATTCTTATTGTCCTCCATACGATTATTAATAATTCTTTTATATCTGTTATTCCGATACTTAGGAATATCATCCATTGAAAAGTCTTCCTGTAAAGAGATTTGTAAAATATATATTTTGTATATAGACATATTATACTATTCAATAAATATGTGGCAATCTTTTCGTGTTGTATATGTATGGATTTTATTACCTCTTTATAACTGCTGCCATCGGTTTCATTTGCAAGATCCATATCACTATCGAATGCAACTCCACTATCCCCCGGGGAAGCTAGGCTCGTAATACTAGAAGATCTTAAATGCAGTGATAAAACTGTCCCTGACGGATTTATGCTCATAGGCCTTTGTGGCATATAGTTACAAATATCCAAATATGTTACATCCTGTACAAATTTCATGTAACAGTTTATTGATATCACTAATTAGAACATAAGTAATCAGCTACATGCATATTATTAATGTATCGAGCAAACATTTTTGATAAGTCTATAAAAATAATTTTTTTGTAATAACATGTTTGTAGAAATTTTCCATAAGTAAGCAGATCGTGCGATATATGGCTCGGTCGTACAAAACAAGGTATGTACTCGCAAATAAATGATAACCCACGTTTGCCCTTTGCTACTTTATGTAAAAAAAAAAAAAAAACAAAAAAAAAACATCTATCTCTGCATTTGTGACTCTTGTTATGTGATCGTTGTTATTCCTTAATGTGATAAGTGTAGCCAGGGAATGATATCAGTATCAAGACAGTAGAGAAGCGGAATACAACACACAACTTTCTTGACGTAAATAGCAATGGAGAGAGAAAGATAGAAAGTTGATTTTATTCTCTAGAAGAGTGCTCATAAAATACTTCGTAGACTATTTATAAGCTGTTATTTATCACATTACTTCAACGTACCAATTGCAATGTGAAGGACACGTTTTCCAAACCGGCAAGAAGATTGACTAGTTGATTGGTCTTATCGGCATCTCTCACAAGTGCGTGCGGAAAATACTGCTTTTTTAACGTTTTAGTGTCTCGCAATAAACAGGCCAGATAACTCTCAAAACTGCCCTCACTCAAAGTATGATAGAGCCATGCTCGACCTGTAGAATACTTAACATTAACTCAACAATAAATATCATGTAATTCTAAAACGTGCAATTTGCAAGTTGTAGAGTGGAGAAGTATCTTCAATTTATTCAATATCTTTGCGATAAAATGAAGCTACAATAAGTCTGCTAAATGCATTAAATGAAGATTGGTCAACTGAAAGCACACAAAACCTTTTTATGTTACATCAAAGCATACCTTTTCCAATAGAAGTCAATACACTCTGCAGCGCATGAATTACCACAACAGTATCCTGATGACTAAGTTCTCTAGCGGTGCCCCAATATCCATGTCTCTCTACACGCAGTCCATGACGCAATGTGCGATCCAACCAATAAACCAACCAGGAATCACCATCCAAGACCACAGTACCATAGAGACTTTGGGCATAAACCTGTTTAATGTATATAATTTCCTTGTAAATAAAACAATGCATGTAATAAAATAAAAGCATATTAAAACAAAGCAGAATTAAGTTAGAGAGAACCGCTAATTATATAAAAACTTTATTTTTTATATTTTCTTTAAATACAAGTATCATATGTATATGATGTATAAAAATAAGATTTTTACAAAGTAACATTTTATAAGAATCTCAAGTTGTAAGATTAAAAAAGTAATATTAAATATCAATGAGTCATCCAAAATGCAATGGAACAAATATGAATAAAATATTAGAATTAGAATATTTGTTCTTCTTTAAGAGAATACAAAGTACATGTGAATACAAACAACACATATTATGTATACTTAAATACAAAAAAAAGTTATATCAGATAATATTCTGAAAAGACAACAAAACACAACAAACTAAGTGTATAATTAGACCACTTGTTATACTGACATAACAATGGCATTTGTAAATACACTTTGAAAAAAGTAAATTTTTTATAATAAAAATAAAAGAATATTCACATGTAACAAGTTAAATATACAAAATTTAAATAGTCGTAGAACTTTTACGCTGGATGTTTGTTGCAAAATAAATAAATATATATAATAAATATATATATATATAAATAAATATATATATATACATATATATATATATATAATAAATTATATAAATTTCGCGTTTAAACTTAAGAAGCCTAAAATCTTTAAGTTGAATATATTTTTACGTTGTGTTCGTACACTCTCACTTTTTACAATTTAGTCAAAAATTATTTGTCTCACTTATTTTTTTATTGATTACTAAAAAAAAATATGGATCAACAACTGTCAACTTTAAATTTTAGATTTTGTTCTTAACAGCACTTATAAGTTGAAATTTCTGCATTACAAATAAAAAGTAGCACACAAGTATCGAAATAAAACGTCATGAAGACAAACAAATGCAAAATGTTCAGGTAAGAGGAACATAGATTTCTTATCAGCTGTTCCATACATCTGCGCGACTGTCAACGAAACGTCAATGCAGTGTGCTTTCAGTGAAAGCAATTCACTTTTAGGCACTGTCGTCGTATATCGTGGCATCGTTGTTACAAATAAAAATAGCAACACGGACAAGACTCTATCCTGTCCATCTCGAAAAATGTCACGTTTAAAAGAACAACAAAGTGACAGATCGGAAATCACACATAGAGTTACAATCGAGCGCAACACTTCTATGTGTGCGAACGTTCGATTTCAAGCCGCGCTGCGTCACGATTAATTCACAGACGTCACGCATATATATATTGTGTACTTGAATACACACACGTACGTACGTATATACTTTTCAAGTGCAAAAAGTGCGATAAAGTGTAACTAAATGAACAAAACTCTATTTTTTGCTTAAATTGTATTATAATTATTGAATTTTAACTTATTACAGAGTTTATCTTAAATCTAGACGTTTTTCAACCTTCTACATACTCTTGTGCAATATTATATATTTTCTAAAACAATGTTTGTATATTTGTTGAACTACAATAGCATAAAAGTTTTATAAGTGCAGTATATAATAAATATTATTCTTTTTTTGTAATATAAAATTTTTGAGAAATTAGTTGTAATATTTACTCTATCTGTACGATAATTCAAATATCAAAAGTTCGAGAAATAATTTAAACCGATGATGATAAAATAATAAAACTGCGTGAAATCGCACGTGTGCGTTGTTTTACATTTAAGGCAGTTGTGACTTCTCGCAAGAATGCTACGTTACCTCATAAAAAAACGAATTAAATTAAAAATAAACCACGTTTATTAACGATATACGCAACAAGCAGTAATATATTTATTTACGATATACGCATTAGCAGTAATACGTAGAGTGAATACGAAGTATGTATAAAACTTGCAAGTTCTGTTACTCGAAACATTGACTCTTCTAAATCAGTTTCCGATTCAAAGATTGAATGTAATTAAAAATAAAGCTTGAGAAATGTTTGAAAAATGTTTGAATATTTCATTTATATGTGTATAGATGGCAATCAAAACACAAATTATTCTCATAAGGACTGACAGTCGGTGCAAACGTGATTTTAGACTCCGATATTAAAAATCACTCAAAAATAGTGCGCTTCTTAAATACATGTTTATTTGCAATCAAAATTGTTGCATTTCTTCACACTGTTATTTCGAGAGATACCTATCAATAAATATATATCTGTGTCTCTAAAGAACATTTCCTCACGTCAAGACGCAGCTCGGTATCGGAGTCTAGCAAACAGATGTCGATCACTGCTTCTACTTTGCAGAATATCTATGCCTTTGAGAAAAGAGAAAAGAAAGACGCATATATAAGGAGACCATCGCCGCTTCTGTCATTGCGCGTTATACGGGATCTCGGGAATTTGTGCACACATGTAACAGCAGCAACGGCAGCAAGATATGCAGTAAATAGAACAGTGACCTTAGCGGATCGACTTGATTGGTCGATTGCTCACCAGTTTGACAGCCTTTGTGAGCTCCTGCAGGATCCTGCCCTTCGAAAGGACTTTGTCGGTGCAGAGATCCATATCCTCACTACCGGACGACGGCATTTCGCCTGCACGTGCACTTATTACATGATTCGCATCACGTCCACGTAAATGCGGTTTGATGCCGCGCAGAACCGTGCGGAACAATCCAGACCAGGAAGCAGAAGCGGTGGTGGTGACAGCGGCATCAACGACAACGCGGCTGCTCCGTGGAGTCGCCGCGCTGTTGGCACTTTCGGATGTACTCATTGATTTTAACGGTACGCAGGTCACCCGCGGTTTTCAAGCCGCGACTGTTACACTCGTCTTTATGCGGCGTCTTTTATCTTTCTCTTTTCTTTCATGAATAATATCAGTTTCTATCACGGAATACCAGAAAACACGTAATCATTATCTTCTTCTTCTTCTTCTTCTTCTTCTTTTCCATTCCCTCGTGTATATTTTCTGTTCTGTTTTTTACTTCTTTCTCTTTTTTGTGAAATCTTATATATGTATATATAATCTTATATATATGTATATATACACTTCTTAATTATTTATATGCATACATATATATATATACGCACACAGAAAAATGATGTTTATGAAAAGCAGAGAGAAATTAACTTTACTAGATATGCGATATCATTATGCGTGTTTTGCAAGAGAAATTGCTTCATTAAGATAATTAATCAGTCACAAAAAGTCACGTCAAATGACCTGAGACTTAATAATCAATTTAAGTAATTTGTTTAATTTATTGGCCAATAGTATTTATTTAAATTTATTTGCAAGGAACATTTCCTAGAAGTAAAGATAGAAGATACTGGCGCGTATATATATAAGATATTAATCTACATATAGAACTGATTTCATTTTATTAAAACAAATTATATAATACATTATTATTGCAACTTATTGTGCAAAACTTTAACAAATGGAAAAAAGCGTACATTAGTCCTAAAAAAAAATAACAGTTTTTATAAAATAACTTTTCAATTTATGTAATTATCGCAATTTAAGCGCAATATATGTCACGACATGTTATATGTATCATCGCGAAGAATTTCTTCTTATATAGAAAACAATTCTCTATCAAAAGCTATCGAGAAATATTTCTACTGAACGTCTTGCGTAGCAGAGACAAAACTGAGAGCGCGGCCAGGTCCATAAAGGGCCGTCTATAATATAAAGTAGAGTAAGTATAGAGTAAGAAGTAAGTAGTTATTTCATTTTTGTCTATACAAGTAATTATTTCGCATTTTTTGACACGCGTCTTCATTGGCTAACAGTAATGCAGTAGACAATGCGAAATGGGAATTGCCCGCTTAGTTATTCCCGTTGTTACTTTACTGAAAAATAGTTTACTCTCTACTCCTACAGCCTTACTACCTTTTTTTTTTTTTATTAGAGAAAGTATACATTTGCCGTAGGATTGCTCCTATAAGTCTTACATCGTGTGACAAGACGGTTTAAGATTATGCATACAAAAATGAAGTGAACAAGCCTTACTACCTTTATTGTAGACTAGCTTGTAATAGCAAGGCTGTAGGCAGAGAGAAGTGTGAGAGCAGAGAGAAGCCTGAGAGCGGCCAGGCCCATAAAGCCCGTTCTACATTGATCGCAAGCGCAAACGCAAGGTATAGATCTCGTAGAATTGACCAATCACGCTGGTCAATTGGCTGATTTGATAATACGATTGACAATACGATTAGTCAATCCTACCAGACCTGTTTCTTGCGTTTGCGCTTGCGATCAATGTAGAACAGGCTTAAGAAAATGTGTGTAATCACTTTTCCTCTCCGTAACTAGCGCATGTCCACGGGTGGTACACATCAGAACTACGCAGCCATGTCCACGAGCAACATATCGGTGCACTATGTCCACAGCGTGCGGTTCTATTCTGTGCTATGTGCACGAGTCCAAATGGTCACCTTTTTCAGGTGTTGAGTATATTCGCGCGCGTGCATTTGATTTCTTTTGAAATTTAAAATGATCGGTCTCGTGATGAAAAGATGAGAAAGGAAAACAAAAAAAGATAAGAAAAAACATTGCAACTTTCCACACAACATAAATGTGATATACAAGAAAAGAATATTATTTTTTAGCGAGCAGCATCAGAATTCACGGAGTGTAGTCAGATATCATCTCTTTTTACATCATCATTTGCTGCTCTTTGCTTTATAAATTTTATTTTATTTTCTTAAAAATACTATATATTATACATATAGATACAAAATACACAAAAAACATGTATATTATACAAAAGTGTTTTACCGGTATACAAATATATATGTCTGAAAAGTTGCAATTTCAAAAAGGATAATTTATTACTCTGCTTTATTACAATTTTTTATCAGTGTGTTTCCAATTTTCAAGTTTCATTTTACAATTTTTTATACATTACAATAGAATATACAATGTTATACATTTATTACATATACAATATACTACAATATTATACAATATAATATAAATATATACTTATATATAATCCTACCTACCTACCTACCTATCTTAACCATCTGACATATCTTAAACGTTACTAGCCTTATTAATTAGGATTAAGGCTGCATAACAGCCTTGATCCTAATTTTACATTTTGATTTCTCCCTACTTATCCGCGGTCTAATATATTTCCTAACATATTTCCTACCTACCCGGCTTAATTTATTTTCTACAAGCGCTTGTAGATACGCATTCCTACCTACACGGATACCTATTTACCTACTTTGGAAAGTTTTAAAATTTATTAACTATTTTACGCGAGGGGCAGTTGTTTTAAAATTAAAAAGTATTATTTAAAATATATTTTAGTTTCACGTCCGAGTTTTATTTTAAATTTTGATTGAAAAAAGAATATATCTATCCTTCAAAGCCCATCATGTATACTTAGAAGAGATAGAAATATTACTATTCTATAGATAGAAAAAATATATATTTCAATATATATATTTCAATATATATATTTCAAATATATATTTTTGCAAAGATAAAATAGAAAAGAATAAAAATGTAGAGAATAGATATAAAGAACATAAGTCCCCCAAAAAAGATTCTATATCGGTTCTTTAAGAGAAATTGATATAGAAATATATAAGTGGATGTAGAAAAAAGATAAAATAGAAAAGAATAAAAATATAAAGAATATAAGTCTTTAAAAAAAGATTCTATATCAGTACTTTAAGAGAAATTGATATAGAAGTATAAAAGAACATAAGTTTTCAAAAAAAATTCTATATCGGTTCTTTAAGAGAAATTGATATAGAAATATGAAAGTAGATGTAGAAAATACAGATGAATATATATATATAAAATATCAAAAAAAATATATAAAAAAAATAAAAAAAGTACATATATAGAAATATTACAATATTGTTTTAAATTACACAATATACAAATATATGGAAATTTTATCAAAAAAGAATTGTCACTCTCTACGTACAATTACATAAGTTTCACATACCGAATTTTCGGTTTATTGCATAATGACACTTGGAAAGTCATGTTCTTTATCGTCACCAAATATTAAAAAAAAAATATTCATAAGGTAAAAATTTCAAACCAAAAGATCCCTTAATTAGGAAAACTATATAAACTTTTAAACTTTTAAACTGCTCTCCTCTAAAATTTGCGTTTTGGACGAGATTATATGTTACGAGATTATATGTTACAAGATTATATGTAGAGAGTGACGATATATAATGAAAAATCAGTGCGATTACTACTCATGCAGAATAATTTATTCTTCTCAAAAATTTTCATTGTAAAGATATAGAAGACAATAAATAATTTAATTCTAAATCATTATTTTTCCGGTAATTCTTTATATATGCTCAAATTCTATATCTAGGCGTAATAATTTTGCATGAGATTAAGAAGATCTCATATATGATTTGTATTTAATTAAACATTATCACAGATATAGAATATGTCCATATATGAAGGAGTTTTTTTCTAGAATATTATTAAAAAAACTGATTTAGTATACTTTTAGTATACTTTAACTTACTATATTTAAAATTTCTACGGCATGTAAGAACTGTAATTTGCTTGTGTAAATTATAATAAATATTTACAGATAATATATATAAAAAAGCAATCTTTCTAAAAGTGAATTGCTTATTATGTGAGAAGAATAAATTATTAAAAAAATACAACGTACCGTTGCGCGTAGTCCCTCGCCGTCCATCGATGTATCTTCAACTCCTGTCCCACGTAGCAATCAGGAACCTACCTTTACTGTCCCACGATGCGACGAATGCGCGCCCACGACGAGATGATCGTAGTCCCACGAAGCGAGACCACGTTTAAACTTACCGGTGGCCCCGTTGCTGTAATGTGTCGCGAAAACCGCGAAATCGCGAATGACTACTTTTACTTTTAAAAAAATTACTAAATAAGAATTAAGGCAAAATCTTCAAAGAACGCGGAAAATACCGTTATTTTAAAAGATAAAATATATGATAATAAATTTTAAAAGATAAAATATATGATAATAAAAATTAAGTGAAAAGTATAAATGAAACAGAATATGAATGAAAGATAGAATATATATGATAATAAAATTTAAGTGAAAAGTATAAATGAACAGAATAAACTTTTATCGCGACTCTATGCTTTATGTTTAAATATAAAAACTTGTTTAAAGAGGGTAAATGTGTAGAGTAAATCAGAAGGAAAAAGAAGAATAAATTGAGGGAATCTTACTTTTAAATATTCTCTTTTTTTTCTTTTTTTCTTTTTTTTCTTTTTTTGATATAGGAAGGATGATATAGGATAGGTAGAATATAAAAAAAAATTTTTTTTAATGAAAAAAAATAATATGAGATCAAAAAAATAAGTGATTAAAAAGCACGAAAGTTTTATAATTTTTAAAATAGTCTGAAATAATACGTCGCGCGGATTTTGCATAAAACTCACTATTGAAAATCAAAGTTTTGATTGTTTTTTGTTAGTACGGAGCGAAAATCAAAGTTTTGATATTGATTGTTTTGTTAGTACGGAACGAAATTGCGGTTTTAATTATAATGATGACATTTGCGTACTTTTCACGCAAAGCAAATTGCTCCGCAGATTCTCTGCGAATACAGTCTCGCAACTTTTGCGAGAGTCACTTCGCTTAGCACAGCGAAGTATCTTGCTCCATTATTTCAATAATGAAGCATTAGTTCGCAATTTTCCTGCGAAAATGATTTATCGAAAACGGAACGGATTTATCGAAAAAGCAAAGTCAAAAACATATTTAAAAATTCGACGTATCTACATTCGAAATCTAAATTAAAGTGAAGTAAAACGCGCAATTAAAATTTTTACGTAAAACTTTTTGTACGCGTACTTTATTTTCTTTCACGGGATGGATTCTAGTAATGATACTTAATCGCGTATATTCAAAAACTCAAAACTAGAAATCGCGGTAGTAATAACGCTAAGTCGTTAAAATTAAAGAAATATCTGCTAATTAGATTCTTTCCCGATATACTTTACGATAGATTTCTAAAATTTCTAACTTTATTGTAAAATTCTCGTGAAAAACGTACTCTTTAATCAATATTAATAAACAACAACACTTGAGAAAAATTGAAGAAGTTTTAAATTAAAAAATTCGCGAAATCTAAAACCGCGTACACGACCGCGATCGCGTGATTTCCTCGCACTTGCGAGGTCCAGGGCGTCGATTTCGACGCAAGGCGAACTAAACGTTCGCAATTTGTTGAATGTGAAAAATCATCGAGAAAAAACTGGTATAAAATAATCATTATATGAAGGAATCTCAATTTTTTTGAAAAGAGTAATCAGTATATCTCTTAGCAATCTATATATCTTAATATACGTTTTTGATAAATGTATAGAATAATCTCAAAAGTATTCTATATTATTCTCTGTTATATTTTATTTTCTATGAGATTTAAATTAAATTAGATTTAAATATATAAGTAAATATATAAGAGTAAATTAGATTTAAATATATATAAGTAAAGCGCGAAAACTATAATTTTATTTTTCAAATATTTGTTTTTTCTCGATGTTTCAAGATAATAAAGCAAAAACTACGTATCGCACTGATTTGAAAAAATACCCATCACCTATTCTAAAGGTCAACTCACGTGCGCTGGCCACTTACTGCAACGACACCACTCTGTAACATAATAGAATTCTATCGTTAGACTCAGAATTTGTGAAAAGAATTAGATAGACATATTATACTTTAATACTTTTATATGAAGTATATATAATATTAAAAACCAAAAATATACCTTCGTGCCAGCATTTTATTGCCCGAACCGGCTCCTCCGGTACCGCAAACACCGCCGTCAGGAATACCATCAGCGTCACCAAAAGCGTCCACAGGAATATTGTCCGGATTGTCTTCTTTGGCACTTGATCACTTTCACACGCGCACTTAAGTGAATTTCTTTCGTATTTTTTATAAAAGTTACTTTTGATAATATTAGACGATACTGCGCGATGAAAAATTTCACGTATATCAAACTATCACCTTGCTGTTTCGAGATTTGTTTTTTTTTGTAAAATAAAGTATTTTAAATATATAAAGCGATGTATTACGATTACACGTAACTCACATTTCTTTGTTATATGTATGTTATAGCATGATATGTAGAAATGTAGTTTTTATTTGAATTTTACAGAGAATTTTACAACAATTAAACTCTTTAAAATTGAGTCAACAAGAAGTACTGAATATAAAAAAAATCTATAACGTTTATTCACCTCCGAACTCTTCTCAATGACAGTTAAGATGACAATGGTACCTCTTGCACCCAAACTGTCAAAGAGAAGAATTCGGAAATGAATAAAAAGTTATAGATTTACCGCGGTTCTCTTAATAGAGAATATTAACGAAACTCTAATTTGTAAAATATTAAAACCGTATTATAAAATTCTTCTGATAAAATTGAAATAAAAAATATATATTCTAATATATGTTATATACAATATATAACAAAAAAATGAATGTCTTTACGTGAATCGATATATCTCTTTATGTATTAGAATAATTATTTTAAAAAATAAAGAATTTACGAAGCAGAAGACTAATAATTTATATTCGCGAAATATTTAATCGCGATACACGCGGTAGATTTACAATAACGAAATTACTTGACTAGTAATTATTTGACGAAGAAAGAAATTCACTTTTGAACACGAAATCGCGTACGAACTTGATATGCAATGACAAAAGAAAAATTTCGAATCGCGCACAACCCGACAACACGTCCGTCACTCTCGAGAGATCGACGAGATCTGAGGCTACGCGCTGCGCTAAGAGTAGAGTTTTCGCGCGCACATTCCCCACTGTGCGCTTTTGAAATTTCCTTCGCAGGGGTTGAGCGGTTTCCCGAGCGTCAAAACAACAAAAAACACTCGCCGGTTGCAAAAACACTTCAGTCGTTGAGCATAACACGCTTATTTTTCACGTACTTTTGTATTAAAATTTGACATTTATTACATTCTTAATTGAGAATATGTTTCGCGAATGTAGTATCTAAGAACTTCTTTTTCGATCGGTCACGCCGATAAAACGCAACACCTCGGAATCGCGATAAAATTATATCTTTTCGTAATTGAATAATCAATGTAAAATATGTTACACGAAGAAGTAATATTCTCAACTATGTGGAAAAAGAAACACTCGCCGGTTGCAAAAACACCTCAGTCGTTGACATAACACGCTTATTTTTCACATACTTTTGTATTAAAATTTGATATTTATTACATTCTTAGTTCTCTTTCTTTTTGCGCGCTGTGTTTGAAGATATAATATGTAAGACTTTTAAAAATAACGAATTTCTCCATAACTTCAGGTCTAAAAACAAATTCAGTACTCTAATGCATTTTAAAAATATATTATTCTTTAATTATATAAATATATTGGTAGTATTCTGTATTCTAATATTTTTGATCAAAATAATATTAATAGCACATTGAATAAAGCAACTTTTTTCTGTATATCAATAGTAAAATGCTTTTGTTTCAAATTAATCTCACAAATTGCATTATTAAATTACATTATCCTCAGAAATAGAGTACATTTTTTATTTTTAAAATTTTATATAGAGATTCATTAAGTTTTCTCACTTGAAATACATGTTACATATTATTAAATAATTTTTGTAAGTTATCCCTTGCAAATTTTTATGTATGTTTCAAAACCTAATAATATGTAATCTTATAATATTATCAAAAAATAAATATAAAAAGTAAACTGATAAGTATTTAATTTTTGAATACAACATAGGCTGTATTCCAATATTTACTGTCGATAGTAAAAATCTATTCATGTCATAGGTCCTGAGCATAATAAACAAAATATTAAGAATAGGAGAGAATAAATATTAAATAAGAAATTTGAATTATTTCTTTACAAAACATGAAAATAGAATAAATTAATATTATCATAAGTTACAAAATAAAAATTTAGAATAATTATTTTGTTTTTTCTTGTTTAATGTAACATTATTTCCTTTTGAAATTCGCTGATTGTTATAACAAACTTTTTCAATGAAAACAGTCGCACTCAGTGCTCACTGGTGCAGACTACCGAATTCGCTTTGCTGTAAATTTCCAGTAATGGCAGTAAATATCAGAACGCAGCCTCTATTGATTAGGGCCTGAGCACAATAGGGAAAATATTAGGAATAAGAATTAGAAATAGAAGTTAAATGTACTATACAATAAGAAGAAATACAATATAACACAAATACAGGAAGTATGTCATGGCTGCATGATATGCAGCCTATATTTATTTACATTTATGTCATGATATACTTACACCATGGGAAAACGTGCGATTTTTCGGAAAGCAGAGATCTAAGAGTATAGGTAAGTAGGTAAATGTTTCCAGTTCGTAAATGAACGAACGTAGATAAACCTCCGCGTGTGAGAAAATATCCAACTCGTCTTTATTATTTGAGTAATATATATTCTAGCAGGTAATATTTTCTTTACAAAAATATGGAAAATTTTTCTACTTTTATTGTATCTTAATTAGATCTCTCCATAGAATACATACGTATACAATCGTCTTGCGCTTACAGTTGATAAGAAATCGCTTAAAAAATATGTATACAACGAACTGTCGTACACAATGAGTATAGCGCTATTTTGAGCTGTTCATCGGAATTAAGACTTATCTAATAAAATTAAGAAAAATCTTAATTCTCTTACATTTTTTGTGTTCTCCAATCTCCTCTTGATATCGCAAGTAGAAATACAAATTTATGCATTTCTCGCAAAATCTCACCACCTTCCAAAAACTTTGCAAAGTTTTAAAACGATAACTCAAATTTGTTCTGACAAGAAAAAAAAATGCATTTTGTCATATGTTCAAAATTAATAGAATAACATTCTCTCAAAATGTGCGTAAATGTACACATTATTCATTAATTAATAATTAATAATTTTTTTTATCTTTTATGTTCAATTTTTCTATTAGTTGCTGCTTTTTACATCATTATAATCATTTAATTGTATTACTTATGTGTCTTCAGAAATCAAACTTAGATTTTTTACTCGCACTTATTGGTGATATAAATTTGCGCTAACATCTTTATGACTTAGGTTAATACGTTGAATTAAAATTTCCAGTCCCATGGCACACAAAGAACACCGTCGCTCATAACAGAATAATAATGAGTAACCCAGAGCATAACACCCTCGAGAGACGGTGCTAATTCCTTCTTGTGCAGAAGCAATTGTTCGCAACACTGTATCATTAGATCTGGTGTAATGCTATCGTCTTTGTTGAGAGCTGCCAAGCCCAATTCTTTAATGGTTTTACGATGGAGTTCTCGTTCCACGTGTTTTATACTGCAAAAAATACACATGCCCATGTAGTAATTTATATAAATTAACTATCAACAGTGTATTTATTTTGAAAATGCTTAAATGTTTATGAAATTCTTACTTATTATAATGATTTAGTTTCTTCGTAGCTTCTTCCAAGTTTTCCGTGATAAAATTTACTAAGAGAAAGCTTGGACAGGAGGATGGCACGATAAATTGTCCCGTTGGTGACAGCATCAAAGGACCTGCTTCGCTACATTAATAGAATTACAAAACACAAGTTGTACAGAAATGTTTGCTTTTGCAGAGAATTCGAGCGAAAAATGATGAATTTTAACTTCAATACTAACGCTTCGATCACAATTTCGTAAGCTGACAAATCGGCCGGCCAAGAATTCGGATACTTCCTCTTACCCCGATAATCTGAGAGCGTGGTTATGAGCTGTCGTAGTTGTCGCTCGTATTGACCGACCATTACTTTAGGCATGAATTTCCTGCACATATAGAGGACTCTAAGCCTTACCATAACTCAAATAATACGTTATATTACGCACCGTCGACCAACTTTAATGTTGAGCAGAACTTGAGACACCGCCTTCTCAAACGCCGGTAATTTTACCAATAGAGAGTCATGTTTTCTAACATTCTTTATCAACTGCAAACAAGAAAATACATACGTCAATATACATGTGTAAATTTTTCATTTCTAGATCTGGTGAATTATATTATTTTCAACTTACATCGAGCCAATTGTGCCTGACCTCGCCTGAATTCAGCATGACAGTACCTTCTAAACTAACGCCGGTATCGTTGGCAAATACGAGAGTTCGATTCCTCAACACTTCCATCGATTCCGGATGGTGTTCCGCCAAGGCTCGAAAAGCTAATAAACAACCACGGTAATGAGCGATATTCCAACCGCAATCCCATACGATGTCTTTCAGTCCCAAATTTGTGCACAATATTTTCTCTAGTTTTTCTACCTCTTCCCTCATTGGCCTACATGCTTCAAGCTTAACATGCGCCTCATTAATGTGTTTATCTAGATACGCCCTAATCAAAATAACACATATAGAGATATACAACATTAAGTCGTATATACGTTAAGCTTGCATATTACATTAGTGACGTCTATTCAATGCCGATCTCTTTAGCTTACTTCAATGTGTCTGGTTCTAAATTGATCTTTCGTTTCATTATAATTGACGCATAAATGGGATCATCCTCCAATTCTGAAAAATCCACGTTCTCTCCGGAATACGAGCGCTGCCAAAATCGAGATTTGTGTCTCGCGACAGGAGGCTTCTGTTCCTCGATTTTGTCGACGAACGTTGTTGGTAAATCGCATGTTTTTAAAATAGAGAGTATCGTTTGCCTCAGATCCTTCTCTTTTAACTGTATTTTGACAAGCGTGAATTTGCCAGCCTTGACTTCTTTCTCATCTTTGGAACGCAGATAAAAAGGCAATGTGGTCGGCCGTATCGGTTGTTTCTGTTGTAAAGTTTCTAAGATCGAGCTCAGTTGCTTCAAAGAGTTCTCGTTTACTGTCTGCAAAAATTAATGTTACAGTTAAAATAATATTTTACGATGTTTCTTGTATTTGCAATCTTTTTATTTCACTTTTCAATATATTTACTTTATTTTACAATTTTATCCTTAAAAAAAAACACGGAAGATATAATGCAAAATAATTTTTCACATAATATAAAAAAAAAAGATAAAATACAGCAAGCAAATTTCACATCTATATATGTATGTGAGATAAATATAGAGATCGGCGCAAAGCCAAATTGAGCGATAAAGCAGTGTGTATTTAAAATAGAGACATACTTTATATGTTACATTTTGTGTCTTTAATTGAACAATGGGGTCTTACTCTTTGCGTGGGATACTGGCCGAACAAATCGGGATGAACGGTGAAGTAGAACGGCCTGAGCGCGGTGGAGACCTCGCTGGTGCTCAGAGCCCTTACAGCATCTCGTCTGCAAAAACTACAAGAAAGAGTTTGTCAGTGTATAATTTTGTTATCGCGCGAAAGAGGAAAAGATCGTTGTTGTCGCGCGAAAATAAATAATCGAGAAAACTCTGACTCCAAACATTTACCATCTTCCGAGTGTCGCGCAGTACATCTCGTCCGAGCTTTTTGTGTCTCACACGATTATTTTCTTATCGCATAACTCAATGAATCACGCAGCGGACACGACAAGTGTCACGTCCTCGGAAAATATCGTCTATTTCTTCTTCAAACGAGACACGTTCGCTCTATTCGAGACACGCGTTATCTCGCTTTCTCCGCGAAAGCGTCTTTGTATCTTCAAGATTCGATTCTGAAGGTTCGCGATTCAAAAATAGAACGTCGCGCGAGTCATTCTGTGCAGCAAGACGACGTAAAAATTACTGACGCACACTGGAACGCGCATTGTGATGAGATCGCGACTGACTGGCGGAATTGACGATTATTGTTGACAATGAACTGCTGTGCTGTGATAACATACTCGCGCGAAATTAATGCGTGTTCGATCAATTAACTTGAGAACGCAGCGCTCTTCAGAGATTAATGCGAACTACGTGATGTTTATCTGTGAAATAAAAAATCGCTATTGTCGATAACATCTGGTGCGCGTCCGTGCTACACATCCTTGCACAGAGTTCTTTTTCTCAACACACGCAACACACAAAAATATAAAACAAAAATAATCTCATATTTACAGGTGCACATTATTTTTCATAAAAAATATATTTGTTTTTATATACTTATATCGTAATAATATATTTACATTTAAACAGAAAACGACATATTTTTCACGCAATTTTAAATAACAAAGCAATCTTTTCTGGAAAAAAATATTTTGTTTTAATTCTGAGAGGAAAAGTCACCAAAAATGCATGCTGTTCACGCATTTGTGTGTGTGTGTGTACGTGTGTACGTGTATATCAGTTACGCGCGTGTCTGCTGCTGCATATTATCAAACGGTTGAAAACATCGGCGATAGAAAATGATAAAAAACGTCGATTCGTGGAGTAACCGCCACACTGTTATTACGATAATTATTGCCACGTTAAATATTGTTTTAGATTACACCGGACACTCTCAACCGCAATAGAGCGTATTACGCAGAGAGGAACGCGTTTGTGATAGCTTCCAAACTCTCTGTCCGCAGCATCATTACGGGAATCGTCAGGTCAAGTCTCTCGGTCTTCGCTTTACACACGTAAATTCCCCCCGTCACTTCCGAAGATGAGTCGTGTCAATTTCGCGCAAACTTAATTAACGGACAGTGAAGCGGGTCGGGAATTAGCTCAAGTGACTGCTTATTGCACTTCCTGTGTCATAATGGTAAGTAACCTACGTGTACACATTACGTTTGCAAAATGTTTGTCAAATCGCTATTGGTGACGTTCGAGTGATAAAAGTGTTTTTTTTTTTTTTTCCCCAATGCCGCTACAGAATTTTTATCCGTATCGTCGTCGTCGTGAGGAATGATCTGAATAATGTGACTGGTGAATGTTAATTTCAGCAAATTTCTCTGTATTTCGTCGTGTCGTTGGCTATTAAACGCTCTACGTGCACACATATGTTAAGAGTAAAATCCTTTTCTGCCGGTGTAACGCAGATCTTTAACAGTATTCAACAGTAGTTTGTTGTATTGCAGACTATGTATGAGTTTTGTTTGAAAAACATGGCGTGTGATGATGCTTTTTATATGATTTATGTGTCAGATATTTCCTAATTATAGATATATATATGATAAATACGATATGATAAATATGGTAAGTAATTTCTTGGAATACATTGCTGCGTCAATATCGTCATCTGTCATTGCATCATAATGAAATCGTTACAGTTCTCGTTATAGCTGTCCTTGTTTTTGTCTTTGTAGAAAAAACAAACTCTCAGAAGGTTTTAAGAATCCATGTATCATAAATATGCATTGACTTGTGCTGCAACGTATGGAACTGTTGTGCGTATCTGTCTGTCTTCATCTTTCAAACAATCTGCATCTTCTGATTGTGTAACAATATAACATGACACAGATGCATATATGATACTAATAGTGGTATGTTACAGATAAGCTGACATTGGTTTTGTCATGCTGAACAAATTAGTCAGTATTATTTTTGGCTCCCTTGTCTTATGGGCTGTGGCTACATACTTTTTATTTTTAAGTCAACAGTCAGTTGGCAAGGATCATGAGAAGGTAAAGACAGAAATGTTATATGTTTTTTTTTTAAGAATAAAAGAAAATGTAAATAAAATAATAATTGTTATTAATAAGATATTCTTATTACCAGGATAAACTGTCAAATCAAATTAGCAGATTAGAAAAACAAGTGAAACAACAAATAATTATAAATCAGGAACTTCTCGAAGGAATTAACGAAAGCAAACGTCGTAAAAGTAAGAATAATAATAAGAACACACGCGTTACATAACAATTTATATTGTAAAAAGATGAATGTATAGTTATAAAGATATACATTTTTTTTCTAGAGGAACATCATAAATCAAATGTCCAATTACCAGAAAAAGAAGTAGAAAAAGATAAATATAAGAAAGATGAAGTCACAAGAACTAAGAACATCTTGTTGCAGAAGATCGAAGATACGAATAAGTGGGAAAACTCTAAAACCGAACAGAAGTCAACATATAATACGATCTTATCTGTAATATATAAATCTACATAAGAAACTTTTAATATTAAAATTCTTTTTTTTCGGCTAGTTCCGTCACTTCCGATTAGGTCGATTGTTCCAATTCGAACATACCAACTGTCATTGATCGATTAACCAAATTTAACCAATTGATTAATGAGTAATTTAATCAAAGATGATGAAACTAGCTCATCATTTCGACGATTTGTGTTAAAACATTTATTATTACAAGTGAGTTCTCTTTAATCTTCTTACTGTTTCTCTTTTTTTTTCAGACCGAGTCAATATACAGTACTCCTTCACGGCACAAACTACCAGATGGATCTCCAATAATAGCTATTTTAGTTGTTTCTTGTAATCGTGTAACAGTAGGTCGCTGTCTAGATCAATTGATAAAGTTAAGACCTAACAAAGAACAATTCCCAATAGTTGTGTCACAAGACTGTGATCATCGACAAACTGCTGAAGTTATAGCAAGATATGGGAACGAACTACTACACGTAAAGGTATACTGTTTGTGCGCGTATTGCTGTATTTATTATATTTAACAACTTTTATGTTACTGAAACATCTTATAGTACTCTCGCTTCTTTTGTAATGAATGCAACGCTTTTAAATTTATTTCAGCAACCTGATCAATCAGATATTGAAATACCACCCAAAGAGAAGAAATTCAGAGGATATTTCAAAATCGCACGTCACTACAAGTGGGCGTTAAATAAAGTATTTGTGAATCTTGGATACAGTACTGCAATTATAGTAGAAGGTTAATAGACTCTATCATTTATTTAACAGCAAATATAGCATCAATTTTTGAAATACCTAATAGAGAATGAGATAAGATTAAAACTTGTTTCAAATTCTTGTCTAGATGACTTAGATATTGCTCCAGACTTTTATGAATACTTCCTAGGAACTTATCCTCTACTAGTAAATGACACCTCTCTGTGGTGTGTGTCAGCATGGAATGATAATGGCAAAGCTGGCTTGGTGGACGAACACGCACCGCATTTACTTTATAGAACGGACTTCTTCCCTGGTCTAGGTTGGATGCTTACGCGCGATTTGTGGCTGGAACTTGCACCAAAATGGCCCAAGTCGTGAGTACTAGTAAAATTTTATTATTACAGTTCTATTTATTTTTTTTTTTGTTGATATTCTAAATATAATAGTCCCAATTATATATTTCTCACAATATATATTTCACTCTTTTATTCAGATATTGGGACGATTGGATAAGACAACCGGAACAGCGTAAGAATAGAGCCTGCATTCGTCCAGAAATATCGCGAACCAGAACATTTGGCAAACTTGGAGTTAGCAAGTACTTATCCATAATATGTTAACACGAAATAAGAAGCATAGCTGAAAGTTAGTTTGATCAACAGAATATAAAAATTATCTCTATTATTTTTCTAGCGGCTTATTTTTTGAAAAACACTTAAAGTACATCAAGCTGAATGAACAATTTGTGCCTTTCACCAAGATGAATCTATCCTATTTGCTAAAAGTAAGGAAACAAATATTAGATTGTCCGGCAAGTGCACATGTGTGCAAAGTGAATTTATAATTTGTTTATTTCTCTTTTACACGCAGGATAACTACGATATAGCTTTTGTCAACCAAGTGTATCAGTCGACAGTCGTAAGCTATCTGGAATTGAAGAGCGGGAATATACTTGCCCCTGGCCCCGTGCGAATACCTTATTATACCCGTCAGTCGTTTAAAAACACTACCAAATTGCTCGGTTTAATGGACGATTTCAGGGTAAAAATATTTCTTTATTTTTTTCGACGAGATTTCTATTTTATACACGTTTCAAGTTATATGGCGTCAAAAAATAATGCAATTATGATATTACAGAGCGGTGTACCTAGGTCCGGATATCGTGGTGTGGTAACATTTTTTTATAACGGGAGACGTGTGCATTTAGCGCCAAGTGCAAACTGGAGCGGTTATGATATCACATGGAGCTAACACATGATTATCATGTCTCATTTCTAATATTTTCCAAAAGTATTGTGTGCATTTGTTGTTTGGCAAATTAGGTAATTTATTTATCTATTGCGCGATAAACCGACTGGTAACATTTTCCTCTTTGTGCTGCGATAAAATAAGCTATGTCCTTCCCAGAATTGAAATTGCATTCCTCACATGACCGATAATTAAACATAAGTTTTCAGAAATTTACATTTAAAATAATATATAAGTTTGTAAATATGATATGTTTGTATATATAGTATGTATAGAATCATTTTTACAGTGAGATATATATATAATTATATGTAATTTATATATATCGCTGTAATATTAATATATATATATATATAACATTTAATATACATATATATACATATGTATATTAAGACCTATTTTATTTCGTACGAACTGATAAGATTTTTCCTAGTATAAAAAAATTGATTATTCGTTGTAAATAGGAGAAATTGTAGCAATATTGAGAAAGCAATACTTTCTGTTACCTGCCAGATATCTTCCAAAGTGAGAATTGTGTTGATGTACATGTGTTGATATTTTGCTCGTACCGCTTTTACGGATATAAACATTTTTGTTGTGACAAAATTGCATGATAAAGTATATAATTTTATCGAAAATACATTGCTGATTCTTCTCCCGCAAAACACTATGAGTGAACTGTGCGTTATATTATTATTCTCGTCTCTTGTACTATCTGTTCTCAGTTTAACCCGAATTAAGTTGTTTTCGTAATCAAAATATCTGCAACACTGTTTCTTTTTTACTGTGCATAATAATAAAAATTTTGTGACGTTAGATTTTTATACGTGTGCAATTGTGGTGAAATAAAAAAAAAGTTACACTTTATAAACCTTTGTATTTATATACACATGTATAAGGTGTAACAACAATAATTAATGAAATCATTCGTGTTTCATTTTGTTGTTCATAAATTTATATTCACAATACATGTACAATGCAGTTCTATACATTTTTCATACGAAACGAATGTTTCTACAATGTTGAGAAGCACACTGCAAATTGCACACATGTATTACATACACGTATACACTTGATTCCCTATAATTGTCTAGTTATTACCTGATACGATCTGTGGAATTTGGTAAACACAACATTTGCAGCGGCGGCTGTCGAATCGTTGCGGCAGCTTACGATTTAAACCACAAGCGATTGTGATATTTCGACTTTTCGCGTGGTTCGTCAGGCGACAGACCAGGAGTGTAATCTGGATACGTTATAGACTCGTCTTTCGACGGCCGAGGTCTGGATGTATCATGAACTTTAGCCTCGCAGAAATATCCAAACGGTGGACGTTCTATGTTCATTTTCTCACGAACGCATTGATCCAGAGCTGCTTGTGTCTTTCGGCATCTGCGTGATATTCACGTTACCATTAAAATACATATTGATGCAAAATTATACAGATGAAGAATCAGTTTTAAGTCTTTTCCCCTTGCCATGCGCAACAATAAAAATGTAACATACGGAGAAAATTCGAGCGTTCCGGATGATCTCTCAAGGCAGTACATGTACGCGTTAAAATCTTCGAAGCAGTTTTTCTTCATTTTCTTGAGAACATCTAACGCGCAGGCGGTCACGGCTTTTCCCTCGTTGAGACAACGGCGCGGATCTCTCTCCTCATGTCTGCACAACATAAATTCCTGAAAAGGAGAAATCAACTTCTCACAATCGAGAGACTCTTGGAGTATCTTAGACGGACTTTCGACCTGGAATACCTTCTCTGAAATTTATGAAAAATCTAATTTAGTTTTCAAAAATTCTCGTTATCTAATTCTCTTGCGGATTTCACGCTTGTTGTCACAGTGTGTACGCGTGCGTGTGTACTTGAACGGGATTTGTTCGAGAAAAAACAACCGATCATTTATCACATGACAATTTCGTTCGTTTCTCGAGTGAGATCAATGCGAAATGATGAATGAGAGTCAGTAGCGAAGGTGTTTCAGATGAAATGTTACGTATCGAGACAATTTATTTACATGAGACACTCCGTGTCAAAGAACTGTGATCGCATTATGTAATCTTCGGTGGGAAAATGCATGTAAATAAATGCGTGTCACAATAGCGAGATCCAATTGTGCACGCGTGGAGACTGTAACTCACATTGTTGTACCACTCGCAAGCCTTGCCGATGTACACAGAAGCGGTTTGCAGGACCGGCCAGCTGACGTTCAGCTCTGGAACGGTTAACTCGCTCTCCTCAGGTAGCACAGTTTCCACCGTCGCGGCCATATTTTTTTACTTTACGACTGCGCTTCGATCAAGTGACTTGTTTATTTAATTAACAACAAGTCAAGGTCAACGCGCGGGAAATTTCCCCACGAAATCACTTTCCGTAATTTCGATGCGAATTCGTAGAATCAGAGAGAAGACCTGAGAACAGTCCAAGGCCGCATCTTACCTGTTATTGCTTTTCCGCCCGGTGCGCTATGGTTCACGATGGTGCACGACGTTGCAACCACGTAGCCACGTTCACGAGCGGTTTGTCGATGCGCACGTCTATCGGTTCTATTCCGTGCTAAGTCCACAACAAGTGCGGTTATGTTCACTGTAGAGCGCTAGCGAATAGAAAAAAGCGAAAAACAGGACGATGACAGCTAAAATACGACCGGGACTGCTCTCAGTCTTCTCTCTGGTATTGTTTTATCCACTAGATTAATTTGCGATATTCGTATTTCTATCGCTTTTTCTCTCGCAAGCTGTTGCCTTCTTGGCGTGCGTTCTAATTGCGCGCGCCGCCGCGCGCGGTTCGATACTTCGAGAATCGCAATTTCGCGCGCTTCGATACTCGTTCCGGCGGGCAGACGCAGTAGACGCGCGACACGGAGCGGAACTTCTCGTTCGAATCAAGGTATTTTTTGCAATTGTTGTCGTCTCGCGCCTAAATATCAGTAATAAACATGTGTCGCAAAACAGTCGGCGTTCAGAATAATACGTTAATTAGTAATCGCGCGCTCGCCGAAAACGATACGAACAAGTTTATAACGATGAAGTTGTTTCGCGGCGCTCGCGAGACGAAAAAGGACAACGCGGAGAGAATTACGTTCAAATTCGTCTCGTTGTTTCTCTCTCGCGTTCATTATTTGTTCATTATTTCTCGCGCGCGAATATCAATAGTTCGTGTGTGTCGCAAAGTAACGAGTATACGTATTGATGCGTAAATTGTATCGCGCGAATCTCAACAATCGGCGGGCAATACGATCAATCCGTATCGCGGGCCGAGCGAATCCAATGATCTACAGAGCAAACAAGTGCAATCAAGTAATAAATATCTTCTTGAATTATTACCTATTATAAAATAATATTAATTAATATGAAATTATTTATAAGAGTTATATATTTATCTATATTGCACGGTAATTTATTAGAAAATATAACATTACAAAATATAAGTACGAATAAATAATTAATACAGTTAAATATATATTGGTACGCGGTATGATTTTGAATATATATTTATATTACTTTCTTTTTCTTTTTCACAAGTAAGAAGCAAGAGGGAAGTAAACAAGGAGTGAAGGAGTGGGGAGAAGGAGAAGTAGCGGGACGCGGTATGCATCGTCATTCTTTTGGTTGTTTGTTCGCCCGTTCGCTTAGCATGAGATATCGCATCTCAAAAACGTGATAATGCAAAGGTTTGTTTTTTTTTATAAATTAACAATAATATCTACATTAAGCACTGCAACGAACATTTTTCATATTGAAAAATATATTATTCTCTTAAGATAATATCGCGTCTTTAATATTTTTGTAGCTATTTGTGACAAAAATATTATTAATTTTTCTTTTATATTATTTTTTGTTTTAAGATAATGCAAAAAGTGACTGCCTAATTAGTTTTCTTCTGCTTTTTGGTGTTTAGAACGCATTCGCGCAGAGGAAAGATGAGATTTGTTTTGCGAAGAACCAGTTCGGAGCCAATAGGGTGCTGGCACGAAGGTATGTTGTTTTCGCAAACATTTTCATATAATAACTTACAACCGTCAAGTATTTTCTTATAAAAACTTTTGAAATTCTTACTTTTCTAAAGCTCAAATATATTGGGATTTTTAAATAAACGTTAAAAACGTTACTTAGCTTACGTCAACAATAAAGAGAACTTTTTTTTTGTTACAGAGTGTGACGTATGCAGAAAGTGGCCAAGCGCTCAGTGAGTACACTTTTTTTTTGTGGTGGTGGTTTAAAATCAGTGCGAAGCGCGCGTGTAGATCTTTGTTTTTACGAGTCTTGAAACATCGAGCACATAATTTGAATATATTCTGTATTGATATATATGCAATTATGTTTAAGATTCACATTAAAATATTATGTTTTGTAACAATAAGATATGAAAAGAATTATGCTCGAATCTATATAAGAAGTTGAAAGAAAGAAACGAAGAAATGATATGTTGCCATTTTTTTTAAAACCTGCTAGACGTACATGTCAATATAATTTTACATAATAAGATATTATTTGGTACATAATCAAATATTTTATTTGATATTTTTATAAAGTGTTCTCGATGTTTCAATCTCCGTCACAGCGGAAGTTTTGTCCGCTCTGTCAGCGTCAAAATCGACGCTTGAATTGCGCCATAAATGCAAGTCTTAGATAATTTAATATCGTGATTATTTCGCGTAAAATAGTAGATTTACTTTAATTATTTTACTACATTTTCGTAATATTCTTTTTACAGTTTTTTATTTCATTATATTTGAATATTTCGAAAGATTAATCATATCTATATTTTATAAAAATAAAATCGCGAAAAAGAGAGAAACAAAGATATTATTATAAAAAACTATTATAAGAAACAAAGATATTCTATCATTTATTTATTAAAATCTAATTATTATCTACACGAAATCGATTTTTTGTCGTCTACTGAAGTATTGAATTCGATTTCTTTCATATACGAATTCGCGATAATTAGGTCGGTTTGTTTTATTTAACTTCGCGATAATTTAAAAGTGTGCGCGTATTACATAGAATAGTTTTATTATACAATTCGCACAAAAGTATATTATCGTGCTTCGGTTGAATATAAAATTGAACTGCAGGAAAGTCTTCGCAGTGACACACTGCGGAGCCAACAACGAGATTTGCGTAACAGTATTACGCAAATAATAGATAACACATCGAAATAAACCGAAATTCTCGTTTCGATATGAAAACTTTATTCAAGTTTTTTTAAGTGTCAAATCGAGTGATTAAAGTGTAGACTTTGAAAAAGTATAGACTTTGAACTGTATGAAAACTTAAATTTCGCGTGTGTATTGAATATATTTCGCGTCTTCCGCGTCGCGAGTGACAAAAAGTGCTACGACTTTGAGGGAACGACGCAAAGCCTGTTGGATCATCACTTCCATGGAGTTGGAGAGGATCGAGGGTTGGAGAGGAAGATACATCGATGGACGACGAAGGGACCGCACAAATGTTAGTTACAAAATCAACTTTTATCGCTTGTTTCTTTCAGCTAACAGTTTTTTACATCTTTTTTTTTTTTATTAGTAATTTTACCAATTATCAGAGTTAATATTTGTAATGGACTTCAACTAGATACTAAATCCATATACAGACTAGACTATATTTATATATGAAATTTATATAGGATATACAAATATTTATATTAAATATAGCTGAAAAGAACAATTTGTACATTGCATGCGTAGTGTCCGTCTATATTTCGCACTGATTTCCAATGGCATAAATAAAGACAATCACACATCACAGAATGATTTTCTTTATTTGCTTTTTTTATATGAATATAATGATGACATATATTTATATATGCATGTATAAATTATTTTTTACACTTGTTGTTTATACTTGTTGATTTTATTAATGACATTTTTGCTCATTTATTAATTTTGATGCGTGTATAATCTTTTACGAATTTACTACAATTCTGGCAATAGTATTTGAAAATTAAATTAAGCTCATTTACTCAATATATCAAATTACAGCTGATACGTTTATTGTGAGTTAGCGACGTTCCAAACGTAAATTAATTATTGTTAAGAACAACAGAATAGATTAAATGACTGATATAACATACGATTTTATATCTGCTAACAACACACACACACACACACACACACACAGCATCTAACGATATTGCACACACATTATGCATTGTGAACTCTGTGCATTGATACGTTAATTCTTTTCTTGCAGAATAATTTTATGATTGTTATGACTTCGCGTTATTGTTGTTGAATATACGTATATATTTTCATTTTCCAGACATTTAATATATATTACCCTGTGTTTTTTTTTTTTTTATACAATTATTTGACTTTATATTTATAAATCGAAAAAAAGAACACAGAAGCACATACATCAGCGCTACGTATAAGCACAATCTATCTTCACACTTTAGCTGTGTCTCAAAATTTGTCAGACATTCTGTATATGTACGTATTATACATAAGTACGCACACAATGCGCGATAGTGAACACATTGAACAAGTTTGATTTGTTACACACATATTCTAAAAAAAAACATTTTCATTCGCGCTATGGTGAATTTTCGCGCGCATTTTTCCGCGATCATTTATTCTCTTCAGGTTTTGTCAATAATCTCGGTAACATCTCAGAACTCGGAATGAGGTCGTCTGGCCAGCCACTCGGCGATCGCGGGAATCTCGTGCACTCGTTTCTTCAAGCCGCGTAATGCCGGATAATTCTCCAGAGCGGCCGCGCCGAAAATGTTTTCGAAGTTCTCCAACGCCACGGTGAACACGAAATCCGCCCACGTAGTCTGGAAAAGCAGACGGTTCTATTGCGCGGGGTTTGACTCTCTCTTTCTCTTTCTCTCTCTCTCTATCTCTCTTTTCTCTCTCCTCTCTCCGTGTTTCTCTCAACGTAACGGAAATTTTTAATTTGATGCGCGTTTCGCGCACTTAAAAAATATGAGTATTTCATTAAAAGCTCGCGAATTTTTTGCACGAGCTCAAAGAGTTTCGAGTGCATTTGTTCGAGTTCTTATTCAAGATTTTACTTGACGCGAATTTTGGAATTCAGCATCTCATGATATATATTAGTCTAAGAGCTGGCTACATGGAGATCGACATGCCTCGGTGCATGGAAAATATATCGGAAATGATAGTTTCATCGTAAAATTGCTTTCCTTCTTTCGAATTTGTTTTTTTTTAATACGATATGACAATTTCTTTTGCGCAATTATCTCGATTTGTTTTATTTATGTTATACAACAAAAAACAATACGGTTTAATATATATTACAACTTGTGTATGACGATGCAAATTGAATTGTGGATTGATTTTATTTACGGAAAAAAAAACTTTTGCTATTTTTCCAACAAAAATTTTTTCTCGTGTATATTGAGACTTTTTTTTTTATTTGAACTTTGGAATTGTTTCTTTCTTTACCGTGGAACCGACTGCGTAACCTCCGTTATCGGCGACAGTTTGCTCGAATTTATTCAGATAGAACGGTATTGTTTCCCTCAAGAGCCTCGCCTTCTTTTCTTCCTTTTTGAAGGAATCCTCCTCCGTGCGGTATTGAAATATGACTGGAAAAACAATGGTAGATCGTGCGCTTCTTAGAGTGCGACTGGGAAGTTGCGTGTATATATATATATTGTTTTCTCAACGTAAAAGCTACTTGTTTATTACAGCGAACATCTAAATCAGATAACGATCTCATAACTGACCGGCAGCGTTAGGATCTAGGATGTCTCATTAAGCGTCTAATTGGACACGCGTATTGTTACTCGGGGATTATGTTGGCCACGCGCCAACAGCACAGTTTCTCGTTCGCGTAACACGTGTGCATGCGCGAGTTGAATTTCACTCTCTTGCTAAGCTCATCAAATTAGTCAAGTTTAACAAGAAAATGACAGAATGGAATTGCAAGTATTTTTTTATCGTCACTTTTTGTTAATTAAAACGGAATTCGATAAGATAAGAAGCTCGAACACGGTTGACAATTGTGTGTTGTGAATTTTTTATCGTACGCAAAGACTTGTTGTCTTTATCAATGCTAAGATTTATATTCCGTAGAGATGTCGCATAATTTCTCTCTTTCTTCTGAATCTGTTCCGACGAACACAACACACACACAATTGTACAAAGTCGGAATAAAACTGCTAAATCAGAATTGTCATCAAACTTTGATCATATTTTTCTCTTTCTATGTTTGAAAAAACTTTCGAGCTCTCTGAAATGTACCAAAATCAAACTCTTTGTTCAAAGTGGACTTTTGGAATAAAAAAAAAAAAAGAAAAAATCGACAAATCGCGAATAAATACAAAAGATACTACATCCGCTCGATTATGTCGTTCGTTATTACCTATGGGAACTCTCTCTCTCTCTCTCTTTCTCTCTCTTTCTCTTTCGGCTTGTAAAATAGGTCGCGCGAAAAGGACGTGGTCTTTCAGCGGAGCGAAAAGAGGAACAACTTGGGCGCCTGTACATCTCGTCGCATATTCTCTCCGAGAGATTTGTGTCGAGAAGCGGCGGCATTATATGCGCTCTTCCTCGTCTCTTTATTGTTTCGAATCTCTCGAGATGTGTATCGGAAAATCGAGTTTTTGACGAGTTGTAATTACGTTTTCAAAGACGTAAAAAAAAATCACAAGAAATGTCATCGATATGATAATCATGTATCGTAATTGAAGCTCGTGCGTGAAAAAATCGATGAGGCGACGATCATTTTTTTCTCTTTAGCGTGATTTAAAAAATTCTCTCTCTTTCTCTCTCTTTCTCTCTCGTTGATGACGATTTTTCACCAAAACGAGAAGCAGGGATTATTTTGCGATCGAGATGCGAGACAAAGATCCGCTTATTATTAGGAAAAAATGCGTCGTCGTACAAGCCGTGTTTTTCGTTTTGAAAATCGGAAAGTCGTAGTAGTATCACTTACACTGTTTCAGATCTCCCAAAGTATCGACCAGCACGTCGCACAGCATAGATTCCCATTCGTCCTTGCCCGCGAGATTGTGCTCACGTGCGAGGTAACGCGCCACGGCGTTGCTCTGCGCTATCGGTTTGCCGTCTATCTCGAGAACTGGCAGCATCCCGTAAGGCATCGCTGTACACAGGAAACAAGAAAAAAGTCCAAATCGAATACAAGATTGCGTTTTAAACGCGCAAGTCGACTAAGCAATTTATTTTCGCTCAACCGATCATAGAAACATTTCGCGTTTTGTGTGTCTGATGAAAGTTTAAGTTCAAACAAAATTGATTACTCCGCTAACTTTGTAACAAGCAAGCGCGAGAGAATAAATTCGTATTATTGAAGTTTTAAAACACGCTCTCGATTTGTAAGTACGTGTATATGCCACTTGTCATGCATCTCGAATATATTTTATTTAAAATTTAATTAATTAATTTTATTAATCAATGTAAACGGGTTTTTCTGTCGTATCTAACGTTTCTGTCTTACATTTCTTCAACTCGGGCCAGCGGTCGTTGGAAATCCTCTCGTCGATATAATCGATGCCCGTGTGAGCGAATATGTAGCGAATATGCTCGGCGCGGCCTCGCGCGTTGAAGTAAATCAACCTGTATCTCGGCTGCTCCTCCTCAGCCATTTTTTCTCAATTGCGATTCTATCCGGAACCTGTGTTTCGAAAATTTAATGAATGTCCTAGTGATACCGCACGAGGCGATATCGCACGAGAATTTGTCAAAAAAATAATTACAACCAAGTATTTACATACGCGTGTAAAGTTAGAAACTAATATCTATAAAACCATATCTCAATAACACTAATATCTATAAAACCATATCTCCGTGCCACGTGTGCGACCGATAGTCGCACGTCAAACGCGTTTGTGCTCGACACGGAACGTGTTAAAAATACAACATTAAGAATTTGTATGTTTAAACACATTTACATATTTGCTAGTTGTTTCTTGGACAATATCCGGTCATCGGTACACGTCTGGTCATCGGAGTGATTGCTTCATACACAAATGCGTTAGAAACGTATTGCGTTATCGTATGTTTTTTTATGAGTTTGATTTCTGTACTTTTAGTATTTGTAACGTAAAACGAAGCGACCGACATCTTTTGATTCTCCTATCAAAAGCGTCCCTCGAATTGCTTTCGCACGAAAATATACTCTCTATCTTTATAGGCGATCTGGGAGGCGTTCGGAATTGACTATAGATCTTCCCGACCTTCTTCAGTGAGATGCTAATAATCTACCTGCTGTATCTCCACCGCGGGTAACCGACTTATTTCGGTATACTAACGATAGGGTTGCGTGATTACGTGCGTGAACACGGCGAGTTTTATCAAATTTCGGTGATCACTCCAGAACTCCGTATATGTATATATATATATACATATATATATATATATAAAGCCGAAACACACACACCTGACCGAAAACTTAAATATACTCTCTTCGCGACTTCCATGAAAATTGCAGAAATTTGTGCATTATGTGTGTGTGTGTGCTCCCCCCTCTCTCAGTATATATGTAGAAATGTAATTACATCGTGAAACGCAATACGAACGTGTTATTAAGATAAGCCGCGTTTTACGAGAATGTGTAAAACGTATCAGCTGTTTTTCATATCTGTAGTTAAAACGACAAATGTGCTGCGTCTCACACGCTGTTGACACGTGAATGTTTCGAGCGGGAATTAAACCTCCGTTTTCGCGCTGGTAAATTACACCGGATACGTTTGGATATCGATTTAATCGGGAATCGATTGGAGCGCGCAACGTTTGGGATTGCATGTGCAAACAAACATTACTACGAGCGGTGTGTCAGCATAGGTCAGCATCGATAACTGAACCCCCGTAACCACATTTGACGTAAAATCAATGGTCCGTATCTGCGAAAACATTAATTCGGCGCGTGGGCGGACAGCTGAGAGGTAAGAGGGCACGGAAGGATCGAAAGAGCATTAGTGTGTTGTTACCAACCCTCTCGATAACACCGACGTTTTCTCTCCTTTCTCGAGACTCGCGCCCTCGACAATCGCACCTCAGCCGCGCTTTCAGCGCGGATTCATTAGTCATTTATCTTGACACGAATGCGCGTACAATGAGATTTGAATGAAAGCGAGATTTGCTCGAAGAAGCAAAAAGGAAAAAATTGAACGATGTCCGCAACACCTCATTAACTCGACGAGAGGTTTCCTTTTCTCGAGCTCGTTTCTTCTTTGGTGAATCTTGGAAGAGATTTTTTTAAACAAATTAATATATATATATATTAATTATTATATATTTTTGTTGAAGAGCTGAATCTTGAAAGTACACTGCTTTAAAAATTTTATATTGTTACGTTTATATAAATATTGAATTTAGAAAATATCTTTCTTCTTTTTTGTTCCGTTTTCTGTATGCAATTCGTTCAAAAAAAATCTTCTAGGTTTATCAAAGAAAGAAACGAGCTCGAAAAAAATCTCTTTTTGAGGTAACAAAAAGTTGTGGATTATCAATCACATTTTATATATGTAAATGATTAAATAATTATTCTATTAAAAATAATTTAAGTTTGTGTGATTTTATTGTACGTTTATGTTATTGTCCGTTCGCCGCTAGGGAGGAAGTACGATTGCTTTTTATGAGCATTATTATTATACAAAAATGAGAAACACGGACCGCTCTTCCGAGATCTTCTCATTTATATTCCGTGATCAGACAGCGTATAATTCGCAATTTCTCCGAAGACTTCTTAAGTAGTTAGAGTCGCATTTTCCGTTTTTCTTTCAACTTTCTCGTGGGAGGAACAGTATTAATCTCTTCGCGACGCGTCGTGTCAGCTTTCCAAAGGAGAATGAGCTTAAGATTCGTTTAACGTCGGGGATGAAGGAGAGAAATAAGGGAAAAAAAGATAAAAAATCGCATGACGACAGAAGATGGTGGGAAAGACTCGTGAATAAAAGATGCGCTATGAATATGTATCGCATATCCTCGATTTGGTGTTCGAAAATTTGCGAACAGCTTATTGACCTACAAAGCCGCACGAACTCACTTCAAAGTAGGCCGTAGATAGATACATAAAAACAATTATAAATTTCTAAGCAATATCGGGGTAGCGAAAACACTTACAAGACATTAAAAGTATTAGCTATTTGTTTGTAAAAATCTTATCGAAAATTTTAATAAAACTACTTTTTGCTCGAAACAGCACATGTGGGGGGAAAAAAATATCATCCCTCAATTGCAGAATTGCGAGAAATGAACCATCTACTCGTCGGATTTCGAATCGTCAATCAAAGTGAGTGATTTTAAACGCGCCGATCAAATTACATCAAATTACATCTCGAATCCGATTCAATTGACACATTTCGGACACTCACCCCTTTGTTCTCGTCAAAAAAAAAAAAATCTACTAAATCCACTCCGGATGGAGAGGCACTCACGTGCGCCGAACTGTGACACGGAATCGACTCGCGTATGAACTCTTGTACGAACGATATATATCCGGCGCCGCGGCACACACAGGAGAACAGGAGAACCCGTTTTCCGTTTGCGCTCGGCTACCTACTTGGCCGCCTACTGCGAAGTTCAGGCTCCGACGAGCACGATGCGCAACCTCAGAAAATTCATACCACCCACCACACATTTCGCCTCCTCACCCTCGTTGCACGGGGGTAGTGATCCAAAACTCGGCCGCCCGCGCAACCCTCCGCCTCTCTCTCTCTCTCTCTTCTCTCATCCCTCGCTTTTTGAATGCGGGACTTTACTTTACGGGATTATATACGTTCGATAAAAACGTGAGTGTCGACGCAACGTAGGAAAATCGATACGTTTTAATGGGATTTGGCGAGAAAAAAAAAATTTAAGTAGAGTCGATCCTTTGAGGATCGGACTCGAACGGCGACGCCGGCGGTTCTCGTCACTTTATCAGTGAAAGTTGTTGCTTTATAGTCAGACGCGCGCGAAAGTAGAAGAGATGCGCGCGACGTGGAGAGCGCCGAAGAATGGAAAAAATTGTACTTTTTCAACACCGATGTGACTCGCAATATGAATTTGTCTGTGTAAAAAGTATATCTCTATTGTTAGTTTTGGAAAAAAAAAAAAAGAAAAACTGAGAGGGAAACGTATCGCAAGTTTTTCCCGGCAGCGGATTTCCATGTAATTCTATACACTCGGTGTAAAACAGTCACGTGAACAGGGGAAGGCAACTCCGTACGTTAAATGTTATGTCGTGCTTGGGTCAGTTAATTGGCCAGAGCCAAGCCAGTTAGTTTCATTACGTTATCTCCATCTTCGTTAGTTTCGCACAATAGATGACTCTTCCAATATCTGGGCTACTAGGTCTCTCTCCTCCCGTAGAGGCTTAGAGACTCTTTTTTTTTTTTATTGCAAACGACAGCTTTGCGTTACAAAAAAAACGACTAAGACAAAACGTAATTCAGTGTCAAGGTTTACGCCCGACAAAATTTACAGCAATTCGCGTAATGTTTGTAATTACAAAGCAATCAACAATGTGCGAATCTTTTGTTGAATTGTTTTAAATATGACGTAAGTGTCTCAATAACCGGATGTGTCAATACCCGAACATTTGTTCGGAGAAATAATTATTAGATTTGTAAATATTATAATTCTTACAATTTTCTCAAAATTTCAAGTATTTTTCATGATACATTTTTAACTTCTAGTTTTTAACTTTATGATATTTAATATCATATCAACTTTATTGATATTTAACTGTATCTTTATCTCTATGATGATTTTTATAATGATTTTTAATTATTTCTTTGATAAAAAAAAAAAAACGTGTCAGCGGCCGGTGCTGTACGCCCGGTTATTGGGACAGTTACATCAACTATTATTTCTCTTGCAATTTGTTTAAAAACACAAAACGCATATAACTGCGTGATTCTTACAATTAATCTTAGATTTGAAAAAGAAATAAGAAGAAGAAGATTCAAAGAAAGCGATTATAAAAACTGACGTGAAACAACTGCGGCTGTAATTATGTCGCGAAGATTACGCGAATCCAGAATTCCGACCGTTTTCGCACAGAAGTAACGTAAACCGGGGACATCGTTAATGAAACCGTTGTTAAGTGGCAAAGAATTGCCGCGAGCGCAATCGCGGCGGCACATGTGTGTGCCTCGATCAAACCGACAGGGCCTCTAAAATGCAGTCTACCAACGCTCTCGCGAGGCATTTTGTTATCGCGGCACGAAACTAAATGACGGAGTTTAGTGCAAGGTTAGCCGGCGATGAGCAAAGCCGACAACGGCGACGATCCTGTCCTCGCGTCTTTTTCCACCGACGAAGAAACGAAGCAATTTAAGAACACGGATGCGCATTTCGACGTAAGTGCATCGATCTCTCTCTCTTTCTTTCTCTCTCTCTGATCTGCCGCGAACTATCGCATCGAAACTGTTTTTTTTTTTTGGTGTTTATGCAGTGTACGTGTGCATACACATCACGTAGAGAAATTGTATACTTTCATCTGTGAGTCGAATCTTTGCGCGAGATCGCGCGATTTTTACGACGTGCGTGTGATTTACGAAAGTTGAAAAACTCTTTTTGTGTTAATAATAATATAATGATTTTATGAAGTGCACACGACGACATTTTCTCAAAAGCAGCTCGAAGAAGATTATTTGCGGCGAACTCTTCCGCGAGATTTTATATTTTCATCAGCAGCGAAACGCAACTTCATAAATATATCTAAGAGATTGTGATTTTAAAAATTCTCTAAGTTTTATCGAATTTAAACAAAATCGATACTTTCCGCGTTAGTCAATAATTCATTGTAGGATCTTTTGCTTTTAATAGTTTTTGTTGAATATTATTATAATGAAAATCGCGACTTGTTGTTGAAAATCTCGCGAAAATACATCGCACATTTATTAAATATCTCTTTTGTGTGCGCGTGTGAGAGAGAGAGAAAAAAATAATTAACATTAACAATGATCTCTTTCAAAATTTAATTTTGTCGCTGTTCAAAATTTTTCACTCTTGAGTAATCATCCAAATTGAAAAACTTACATTCAGTTCTCTTGTATTTAAACAGAGAGATTTTTTTATCTAGAAACGTCCGAAGCTCACCAGCCTAATTAAAATTTTTATTACTCTATTGTTATCGGCAATTCTCATGTGCAATCCGTGCACCGCCGTGCGATAACAGTGTAAGTGCTAGTTGTGATTTTTTTCTACGCTTGACAATTGTTATGTCTTTCCATTATATTAGTTAAAAATAGAAAATTTTTTAATTCACAAAAAGAATTTGAAACTTCGATACGTGTGTGCGATCTTTGTTTCGACCAAAATACAAAATGTCATTCTTTTTGCAAAAATCCAACACGTATATCGAGATATCGAGGATAAACAATTAAGTAATAATTTTTCGAGTTTGACGCTGTTACGTACACACGCACGTTGCGAAATAAATTGATAAGATTAATTACGATCCGCACGCGAGAATGCAGCTCGCATCGATGTAGAGAATATGTGGCGATTCAAAAGAATATAGAGATCACACATAGCTGTTCCGTCGGAGAATACGATACGGAGATGTTCCAATTTTTAGCCTATGTCGCACGAAATATAACACAGCTGCAACAACACTTTAATTTTATCGCAACGAAAACTTTTACTTAGAAAATATTACACGAGCTTAATCAGAACGTTATTTCCGAAATAACGTAGTACCGCGGATGCGATCTAAAAATATTTTTCAAATAACAATATTTACAAACAAGAGAAGAAAAAATATATTTTTTTCAAAATATGTTTCTAATAACAATTTTTCCAATCAAGGAGAGTAATTTTGTTTTCCAAGTAGTTTTTTTGCGTCACAGTGACTTGCACATTTCGCGGATCGATTAACGGGAAAGACGCGCGGGGTGAAGGAAGGAAGGGTGAGTGAGGGGGTAAGTAGAGGAATAAATTGAGAAGATTAATCGCAATCTCCACGTAGCTCGGATTGCACCATTGTCCGACAAACACGCGCGCGCGCCTGTCCTCCCTTCTGAATTTCGAAACTGGGTTGCATAACGTTTTGCACAGCCGAAGCCCTGTTCCGTATGTATGTACGTGTGTTACGCCGGCTAGTTACGCCTGGAATCGCAGCAGCGCCGCGACAGCACCGAAATGCAAGGTGTCTGTCAATCCGGCCCGTAGAAAATGCAAGCGCAATCAGTCCCGTCGTCGGAAGAGATTTGCGAGCGCGCGCGCGTCACGTGTATACACGTATAAAAATTCAGAGAGCGCAATATACGTGTAGATGTATTAAAAACGGGAAATGTCGACTGTGAGAAACTCAACGTGCGAATGTCGCAGTTAATTCCCCTTTCCTTCGTCCCACTTTTTTCATTCATCGCTTGATCTCTCTCTCCCTCTCTCTCTCTCTCTCTCTCTCTCTCTCTCTTTCTCGGAACTTTTGAACGGCGATCGTTATTATTATCGCGATCTCTTTAATATCGTCTCCGCGCACTCGGTCTCTTTGAGGTCGGTTTTACGAAGTCGTCTGTCATCATTTATTTTCTCACAAATCGCACATCTGTAAAAGTTCACAGAGGAAAGAAACGCGCGAGACGCAACGACATAAAAAAAAAAAAAAAAATATATATATAGAATTATAGAAACGCAACAAATACGATCGTAAATTCGCGGGATATTTATTCTCGCTCCGTCGTTATTAAAAATCACAGCGGCGAATTGCGCTTCGATAAACTTCTTTGGCGCGTTCAACACACTGTCGCGGGTTTATATTCGCGCGTTATTGTATATATCCGCGCGCCCGGGAGAGAAACTCCACGAGTTATGTATTATAATGGATTAACGACGGAGAGATCAACGATACGTGCCGACGCTAACGGCCTTAATGAGCGACACGATTAAAACTTCGTCTAAGCACGATACAATTCCAGGCCCAGCTTCCCCCGTCAAACATTCACCGTCAACCCTTAACTATATTCCGAGAGCGATGTTAACGCATAATTCCTCGACGAGTGAGTAAATAAAGTCAAGTAATATATAGATATACAATACACACACGTGCGCAAGGTCAAAAGTCGTAAAAGTTTTGCTACGCCTATATACGTATCGAGAGAAAGAGAAAGAACGCGCGCGCGTACTCGTTAATTAATACTAAAACAACCGGAATCTAATTGACGAATTTTCAGAAGTGGAATTTCTAATTGCAAGAAATGTTCCGAGTAGTTTTCATTTTAACGAAGAGAAAATCAATGTGTGTGTGTGTGAAAATATTACAAATTTTTGTAGAAAAAAGCTTAAGCTCTTTTTTTGTCACTTATAATTATTTGGATATTAAAGAAATTAAAAATCTTAATGCGGATAAAACGGTTTTTTTTTTCAAATGTTTGTATTTTGTTTCAAATTGATACACTTTCAAATTTGCGTCGGTGTTTAAAAAGTGCAATTTCACAATTAAAACTCGCAATCTCGAGATCAATTTTTAATCAAAACGCGCGTACGTTGTTGAAACGTTATTAAAACGAGACAGATTTCTGCGCTGACATGTAACATGTGTCTGGAGAAAATATAC